TTCACATCTGGTCCACTAATAATGTTGGCAATCCCTCACTGCCTCCATGCCTATCGTGGTGACAATTTTCCCGACCATCTCGCTTCCCGCTGCTCACTGACTGACTCCTTGAAGTTTTCAATACTGCCGAATGTCGCACCACACTTATATTGTCAATCTTGCCCTCGCGCAATTTCCATCAGGTTGGCACTCTTGAGTTGCTGCTTTCTGGCGCACAGCCGTCTAGATCGCCGATATTCTGTGAGCCAATGTAGTTGGCAGTACTTAGGTAGCGATTTCTTTCTGTTCGCCAATTTCGTTGGCAGTCTTTCCTTGTCGCAATTTGCATACAGTTGGTATTTCTGCAGTGAGGCTCGTTGACCATCTTCGTTCCAGGTACTCTCGGACTCACTGAGGTTGGCTATTCTGAATCGCGGCAATGTATTGTTGCGATTCTTCTTGTTGAATTTAGGGATTTTGTTGGCGAGGTTCAATTTTCAAGAAGCGCTTGGGCGCTTGGTTTAATTCCGCGATTTAATCAAACAACAAAAAGGAAAAATAAATAAACTAATTGGAACTTGAAATGAATTAAATAAACTAAACAACTAAATTAAACTTTTTGAACTTCTTTAATAAACTTTAACAAAGATTAACTTTTAAACTAATTTAAATGAAACTGAATTAACAAAACGAATTTTAATATATTGCTCTACTAAGTGAAGAATACGTGCGTTACTTTCTAGCTCTGAGAATTGAATTGAATAAATCAGATTTCTAATTGAAAATCAAGGATAATTATGAATTTGTAATAATTATCTAATTTGACTTATTAGATAAGAGTTTTTACAAGTAGTCTTTGATTTCAGCTTACAATTTATCAAATACACTCTGTGTTCTTCTTCAACTGCACCTTTTTACAATCTAAATTTTGCGCGTTTAAAGTTACATATTTTGTCGCTAGATGGAGCCGCTTTTACATTATGTGTGGTGATCATCAGAGTCATCGTCGATCAAGAAGGATTTCATTTTCAAGCCATCGATAAAGAAGATTTCTATTTATATTTGACATTCAATTTTATTGTTCAATTGTATATTTTAAAAAGAAAAACGTTCGCTATTCATTCCTTAATCAAATTTAAATTCAGCAACACGCATTTCAAAATCAATATCAATAAATCAGTTATTTTTGAAGTTTTAATCTATTAACTAATTTTAAATATAGAGACGCATTCTCTATATTTTTGGTGACCCCGACGTGATATTTTAAACTGCCATAAGAAATTATAATTAAAGAGGAAAATTTTCAAAATGTATCGCACACCGGAACCGGAAAGAAGCAGACCCCTTAATTTCTAATCACAACGATTCTAAGTTTATTTCCTCAGATTCTGCAACAGGCTTGTTTCAACACTCTGAGCAGAGTCACCCACCCACTTCAGAACCCACACCCATTCCAGGATCAGTTCAACCTCAAGGTTCATTTCAATTACGGACTTATCCTCCAGCGAAGAAGAAGCGTGTCAGTTTCGTGACGACCTCGTCACTCGGGGGGGAGTATTGTGGTGATCATCAGAGTCATCGTCGATCAAGAAGAATTTCATTTTCAAGCCATCGATAAAGAAGATTTCTATTTATATTTGACATTCAATTTTATTGTTCAATTGTATATTTTAAAAAGAAAAACGTTCGCTATTCATTCCTTAATCAAATTTAAATTCAGCAACACGCATTTCAAAATCAATATCAATAAATCAGTTATTTTTGAAGTTTTAATCTATTAACTAATTTTAAATATAGAGACGCATTCTCTATATCCATGAAATGACATTTTTTTTATTTTCTTTATTATAGCTTTCTGTAAATTTTTATTCCTTTATTTTGCTTCTAATGCGATCACAGAACACTTTCCAAGCCTCAGAAGTACTCAAAGTTCGCTAATTTTAGAGAAAATCGAATTTTTATGTTTTTGTAGTTCCAACTTTCACCGCTAGATGGACGCCAATTTTTTAGTCCATGTTTTGGACTATTTTTCTATTTTTTTTTCTAGCGCTTCTAGAGAGTTCTTGTGGCATTATATAGGTTTCAGAGAGGTCACAGAACAATTTCTGACCCTCAGAAATATTCAAAGTTCGCTAATTTTCGAGAAAATCGCATTTTTATATTTTTGTAGTTCCAACTTCCACCGCTAGATGGACGCCAATTTTTTAGTCCATGAAATAGGCTATTTTCCTATTTTCTTTTCTAGCGGTCTGAGGAGGTTCTTGTGGCATTATGTAGATTCTAGAGAGGTCACAGAACAATTTCTGACCTTCAGAAATAGGTAAAATTGCCTAATTCCGGAGAAAAACGGAATTTTAGTTTTTCGTAGGTCCCCTGCTCGCCGCTAGATGGCGCCACCTGTACCGTTTTCGACCAAATTCGACAAAAATTGATCTCCTGGCTTTATTAGGCATCAAAATGGATCAAACCCTAATAGAAATATGTTTCTAAATGCCTCAGGGACCATACTGCGTCGTCAAAGTGCCGAAATATTGCACTTTGCACGCGCAGTAGAATTGACATAGGCGGCTCATGTACGTATTGCAAGGCTGCAACAAAATAATTAATTACTCATTACCCGAACATTATTTATGAACTTTTATGATCGAACCATGTAAATAATGCATTGCTGAACATTCTTTAATCATAAAAGTTCATAGACTGTGCTCAGAAAGTGAGTAATTAACGATTTTGCATACTCATTATCGTGTGTATATTCCTTTTGCGCGCCGCCCGCGCATGCCGCGGAGGAATAATTACCGAAAAACCATATCCGTGTAGACTTTAATGCAAAATTGAATTTGCTCGCGCTTATGTACTTGACTTTTCAACTTTTTTGTCCACGTTTTTCTCTTGCACCATTCAACCAATTGAACCGGATGACACGGTTGACTATTTTTGCTTTAGCGTGAAATTTACTCGCTCGCTCAACATTGTTAGGTTAGGCGCGGAGCGCCTCAATCAAACAACCTACTTAGTTCGTAATACAAATCAGTTTTATCTGAAGTTGGCCAACTAAGCGTATTAGTTTTATATACATACATACATATATGTGTGTGTGTGTGTGTGTGTACGCATGCAGATAGAATAATTTGGTCGTGTATATTTACGTCAGAGTGTCGAAGCAGAGAATATGTTAACCAATTTTATACCGCATTTGTGATATTTTTAACGTAATTCAAAGAGTAAATTAAATATGTCGTGTAATATTTGTCAAACAAAATTCTCATTTTTTACTAAAGAAGTAAGCGATATTTTGTCATGTTACTATAGTTGGTCGTTTAGGTTATGTCATTTTATTATCATCTGAAAAACACTATGCACAACTTTGAAATTGATAGTCGAATCATAAACTGTACCGGAACATTTATCTCGTCTTTCTATTTTTCTAATTTTTTAATTTCTTTTTATGCCATTTAGGTTGCTTGTCCAAGTTGTGGTTTTTCGTATTGCAATAAGTGCCTCAAATATAAATGTAATATTCCAGATAGAGGAGTGAAAAAGGTTTGCGGACGTTGTTTCAGTAAATATAATTTGACAAAAAACTCAAACTCCGATAAAAATATGGACACGTCGGACGAACACGAAGAATTTCTGGCTCCCGTGGATATTACAAAAAAGTAACGAGTTTCTTATAAGTTTGATAATATACGATCGTTCAGTGCAACGTATGCGATAAAAAGCTGAATAAACGGTAATTTATTTAATACGTTTATCAGACTAGATTCTTTGGAAAATCCGGCAAAGCCTCCTATCGTAATGTATAAACACACGAATCATTGGGACAAGTTCAAGAAAGGTTTAGAGCCTGCCGATCAAGAAATAGTGGATAGATTGCGTAAATTGAAAGAAGAAGACAAGTCGACCGCTTTAAGCGTGGACGAAATAAAGAGGAGATTAGCTTTGTTAAAGGACGAAGATCCAGACGCTGGTAGTCAGAAAACGAACGTATGTAAAGAGTAATCTAGTCGTTTATCGTATTTTTTAAACGATATTTTCGTTCGGTATAGATAAATCAAGTGGATACTAGAACGGATCAACAGAAAGCGGACGACTTGATACAGGAATATCTGGAACAATTAGAATTGTCTTCGAGTAGCGATTCCATTTCCGAAATGCAAGCGAGATTAAGATCGCTGCAGGGTATCGCTGATAAACCCCATATGGTGCGTAATTAACATGCAGTCAGTAAAATACTGGGTATACTAGGTTGTTAGACGAATAGATTAATATTTTTCTAGCATTCCAACAAAAACCTAGACGACGACGATGACGAAGAAAGGCACGTATCAAAAAAATTAATCGCGAAGGCTTTAGCCGAAGCAGAATTAGAGAAGAGGTACGAAGAGGATGTAGACGAGTTAGAAGAAATGGAAGTGGAGGTATGCGATATAGATGCGTTTTAAAATCCTTACGTAATCCTCATTGTAATCTAACGAATGCAGGAAGCAAAATGTATGGACGACGAAGATGAGAAACCTTCTTGCGTGATGTGCGAACAAACGGAAAATCTGGAACGATGTTTCGGCTGTCATGGTGATCTTTATTGTCCGGTTTGTTACGAGGATAATCACGACGATTTTGAAATGCGGAAGCATAAAAGAGAGCCAGCTACAAAGTCAAATGTTCATTGAATAGAATCGATAGAAATTGGAAGAAACCGCTTATGATCGCATTTTATCGATGAGACCACATTCTGCTTACGAATAGTATTATAATTTGCGATTTTGATGTTACACGGTCACACTGATTCATTGGAAAAGAAAGAATCGAAAGTAATATAGAGACATAACGAACGACACACGGTTGTAAGATTAAAGTTGAAATTGTGATGTACTCTGATGTAGAAATTATTCTCTGCTTTATGTAACGAAGGGGATAGCCTTATAAATATTATTAATTTCATGTATTTAGTAATAAATATATGTATATGTTTTTGCTAAGAAACATTCGCCAAGAAGATTTATTACGAAGAAATTTTTCGTTCGAATTCGAAATACTCGAGCGTATCGTGTATCACTTTGCACAGAATGCACCGTAAAAGAAGTAACTTTCAGAGAATCGTTTCTAGATATACATTCAGGCTATTATAACGTTGGTTCGAACGGCACGTCTTAACTTAACGATTACTTAACGGCACATCGTAGATGTCAGCAAAGACAACTACCGACAAGTATTTCTCCCTGGCGGTAGGTGATCGGCGTCGCGACGCAAAAACCTCGGTCGAAGCGGGTCTGCTGCTATTTTTAGGTGACTCGTACGCATTCGCTGTGCCAAGTTTTCGACGACGACGTTCGTTTCGGTTACCAACGAACAAACTATTTGTCTTATTTCACGGCAGTTTTTTAAAACGAAGGTTTTTCATCGCAGTAAGCAGTTTGAAAATATGGGTAAAGTAAAATGAAAGTAATCTACGAGGCAACGAACTTGAAAATTTGTCTGCGTCAGTAGCGGGAACTACGTTCGCGCAAACAGAAGATGCATACAGAATTTAAATTACTTCCATCCGAAATACGTATTGATAATTTGCAGGATGATTGTCGACTAGCGATAAAAAATATCTTTGATTAAATTCTATTTTTACTTTATAGCCGTTACTTTATAGCTGCTTTATAAAAATTATTTAAATTTCTTTCTTAGTGGATCGTATTTAATTTTGGCAATAATACTTCAAGGAGATTTATCCAAGTTTTACGGCTGCAAACAATTGGTTTGGCAGTGCGAACAAGGCGTAGACACGTAGCGGATGTTTTTGTTAACAGGTCATTGATACCCGGAATCTCGTTAACACTCGAAATTGCAATTGTTCGAAAGAAAGCATTTTTCTCCTCGGTTGTTTGCCACTTTCTCCAAAGATGATGCACGCATATAGTCGAATGTACATGTACATATCGTTTTAATGAATATTATTCGAGTCCGAACGAAAGCGATATTCAGTCTCTTCTTACAAACTGTTCGATTCTTAATTGGATATAAAATATGTAAAATACATAAATTATGAATTTCGTAGGAAGAGAAATTTGAAGCGTTTCAAGAGTCGAAAAGAAAGAACACGTCTTGTTGTTAAACGTGTTTCGAATTCGTGAGAATTTTCAGACGATGACATTTTTCTGTCGTTTTATCGCACTGGACCAAAGCCAAACACTATTTCTCGACATTGAGGTTCGTCTCTCTCGCATTTTCCTCGAACGAATTTTTCTTTTACGCTTAAATCCAAATTAATAACTAATGTAAAACTAGTGTAAAAATAAAGGATACGGAGGAAACAGGAATATATTGAACAGCCAGTGTTTGACGATTCAAAGGACCATACCGTGTATTTTCAATCGAATCCGTTTCTTCGTAAAATAATTACAGTATATTTCGTCGCACTTGTACAATACAACGTTCCTTTTATAATTTCATTTGCTTATTCCAGCTTGTAAATTCATGCTCGCACATTCATCCTAAACACACGCATGATCTACATTCATTTTTTTTTCTTTCGCACGCGTTTAAAAAATACAAAATTTCTGGCTGAAAGTGCAGTGTAACATCTCTACAGATAAGTAAACATTATATAGAGGGAGAGAAAAAAGAAAAACTTGTGGAGAGAAGGAAGGAGAAAAAGGAAAATAAGAAAAGACGAGTGTATCGATCCTGAACAAGGAACCATAAAATGATCGCGACCGTTGTTATTCGGTATCCCGACTAAATTTTCACTTATTATTTTAACGATATTTTATTCGATTCGATTAAACACAGTTTCAAGTATTTTAATTTAGAGGCCATACAAATGAGATGGCAGTAAATTTATAACTTTCTGTACACACGAGTCAGTCAGCAACGGTACCAAATATAATTGCGTAATATTACGTGGCAAAAGAAAAGGAAATAAAAAAGAAACTGATTTTTTAATATTGTTCGTCCTTTCCGAACGAGTATCGACACTTTTTTTTAATTCCTATCGAATAATTAACAACGAACGAAGGATGCATAATTTTTTTACAAAACGAACACGTACGATATTAATATGTACATGGTCCGTACACTAGACGCGTATTTTCTAGGTGATAACACTCTATACGTATAAGATACAGGATGTTGAAACGTTACCGATTAAATTCGTTCAAAGTACTTATGTATCATTTAACGTTGTTCTAGAATACCTTTCTCGATAACAACGCTTGTACGTACAGACTATAAGTGCGTCCGTTTTTTAAAGCATTTTATTTCAACACCCTGTTACACTTTTTGCACGAAACTAGTAACTGAATTGTTCAGCGGGCGCACAATAAATTATAAATATTTTATATAATAATAATAATAATAACAATAATAAAGTTAATTAATCATTATGCATGAGGACGTGCGCTGTAATACTTCCGGAAACGAACACGTTCCGCTCGTAGAAACATTCATCTTCGACGTTCCAACGCGTTCGTGCTAAAATGAATCATTAATAAAATTCTCGAATATCGATCAGGTCAGTCTCGATAATACGCTAAATATCGGTTTCTTAAACGGTTCGAAAGTAAAACAGAGCTACCTCCCTCTTCCTCTTTCCTTTTCTCTCGATCGAGATCATTTCTCGATGATTATCAATTTGATTTCCTTTCTTTTATATTCGCTTTTATATTCGAAAGAAGAAAAATCTCTAGTCCAATAAATATAGAAAAGAAAGAGAACCGAGAGAAAGAACGAAAGGGAAACAATAAATGAAAATCACTCTTGTGGTCTAGGAGACTGACACGATTCAGCTCGTTCAAAGTGCAACCCTTTTTTTTTTTATTTTGTCGTTGCAATAGTTTTAAGGCTTATGTGGCGGAACATATTTAGAGCTGCTCTTCATTCGCGTCTCCCAGAGTCCTTTTGGAAATTTTATTTCTATGTAAGAAACGCACAAGCACGATAATCTTTTATTCCGTAGATCGATAGAAAATTTGTGAACACTAGCAATCTTAAGATCTATGCAAAAGCTAGTAGCGTAACGATTCGTGATGCACGATACGTAGAAGGCGAAAAGAACATATTCGCTCGTATTCTACATAGAAAAGGACGAGAGCGAGGATCGAACGGTAAAAAAGATAAAACGGTATCGACGAGAGTACGATGAAATAATTCTAATCGTAAGATAGTACCGCGTCGATAAGGTACATTAGCACATTCGCGTAACTAACATCGAAAAGTGAAATAAATTATATTGTTTCATAGAACGCACAGCCATTTTTATCGATGGCAGTGAACGTGCACGAGAGAAAAAGAGAGAAAAAGAGAAAAAAAGAGAAAAAAAGAGAAAAAAGAGAAAAAAGGGGGAAAAAAGAAAGAAAGAAAGTAAACTCGTGGATAAAATTCCTAAAGGACGTAGCTTCTCAGAATGAGACGCAGCTCGATGTATTAGCGGTTATACATACAGCCTAATGTCTCTCTAAGGAGTTTAACTCGCGATACTCCGTTGAGCGCGAAAACGATGAAGGGCGTGGTGCAACAACGATAGTCAGGGTCATAAACGAGGAACCGTTCTTTCGCTTGTGGATTGCGCGAACACGTCGATCCACGACGTTTCCAATCCGGCACCAATAAAAATATCGAAAAGGAAAAGAATATCAACCACCGGATAGGCAGCAACGAACTAGGTAGTAGCCTCTGAAACGATTACCTAAACGGGTTTGCTGTCTCCGTTTGATTAGAAAGTGGTTGTTGGTCGCGCAGCCAGAATAATATTCGCGTGTATCCGTCGTCGGTGCAACAGATCGCAACAGTTTTTCTTCTCTTTCATCTCCGATCTCTACAGATTTACTTATTGCTGTCTGCCGTGCTTTCAGGCGCTGGCAACGGTATAGGTTTATCGGACGTTGTGGCTGTCTGCTGTTTCTTCGTTTTTTTCCCTTTCTTTTGCGTCTTCGGCGACTGTTTAACTTCGTTGTCCACGTCCATCTTCTCGTCTCCCTTCTGTCGTTGTTGCTCCTCCTCCTGCTGCCTGGACTTTTTCTCCTTTTCCGTTTCTTCTTTTTTCATCTCCTCGGACGTATCAGTCTTGTTCGCGTCCCCCTTATCCGATTTCCTCCGTTCAGCCTCGTCTTCCGGTTTCTTCGACGTTTCGTCGACGGTGTTTTCGACTTCGACCACCTTCTCCTCCGTACTAGCAGTCTGTTGCGAGTCGGTCGGTTTCGATTTCTCCGTCGAACCAGTGTCCATAGGTTCGCTAGGGGTCTGACTCGGAGCGACGTCCATTTCGAGCGTCCGGTGATCGGCGTCGTTCGTACAAGACTTCTCTTCGGACGATGGACAAGGAGGGGGCAACGGTATGGGTTCTTTCGATTGAATCTCCGTCGTTTTTCGATCAGCTTCCGTAACTTCTGGCTGTTCGGTGTTTGTGGTGGTAGTGGAGGTGGTGGTGGTGGTGGTGGTGGTGGCGGTAGCGGTGGTGGTCGTGGCGTCTTTATTCGACGTCTGATCCTCTGGTCGCTGATCGATGTCCATGGAATCGGTGATTTGTCCAGAATTATCGGCGTCGGTGGAGAGCTGTTTGTCTTGTTCCTCTTGCTCGTTCGAGGGTGTCTGTTGCGAAGGCAGAGGCGCTTTCGACTCGAGCAAGCCGATCGTCTCTTGTATAGTCTTGATAGCGTTCTTCCTCGCTTGCCTGACGTTGTCTCTACCCTCGGTCTCGATATCGTCCAATTTGATCAACTGCCTCGTCAGCATCTCGTCCAAATATATGTACTGCTTATCCGTCCTCGAGTTTCCATTGTACTGTTTCACCTGTTCCGCCAAAGAGTCGATTTCTTTCTGAATTAACGCTACCCTTTCCAGAGGATCTTTCGGAACGGTAGGTTTAGGCTTTGGCGGTGGTGGTTCCTGCTGCTGTTGCTGAGCCTGCGGAGACTGTTGCCGAGGCTTTTGTTGCGATTTCGCTTGCTCGTAATTCTGTTGCTGAGGTTTTCTAGACTGCTGGAAACTGTGAGGTTGTTGTTGTTGTTGCCTGCGCGAGGGATGCTCGAACGCGGACGTCGGTTGTTGATAGAAAGTGTCTTGAAAGTGCGGGGACCATTGGTGTCTTCCAGCGAATACGTCCCCGAACGGGGACGACCTCTGGAAGTGAGGCGGTGGCGCGTGAAATTGTGTGGGAGATGGTTCTCTTCTGAAATTCGATTTTTCGTCGAAGCTTCTCGGCAACACAGGTTCGTCTCTACCTTCTACGAAAATAGGTATATGCCTAACGTTGCCCTGCTGCTGTTGAGGTTTCTGCGATTGCTGCTGTTGAGGCTGTTGTTGCTGTTGGTGTTGCTGGTGCTGAGGTTGATTGTGTTGCGGCGTTATGTCTATCCTCGAGACGTATCTCTGTCCCGTTGGCTGTTGCTGGGTTTGTTGCTCTTGATGAGGCTGCTGTTGATTCGACGACTGTCTGTTTTCTGGCGGAGCGGACATCGAACGTTGCCCGCGATTTCCTTTGTCCGGGTTCTCCATGTTGTGACGATGTTGTCCTATGTCTACCGTGTTACGTAGTCCGTACTGAGGTATTTGGTTCTTTTTAGGGGTGTGCTCGGAATCGTGTGATCGATGATTCGGCTCCTGGTACTGATTACTCTCCGGTTCACCGTGGGAACCGACGCTTGCTCCGCTCGTAGCGCTGCTTCCGCTCGCTTGGCTCCTCGCGTCCTCGTCGGAATAACCCTGTTGTTGTTGTTGCTGATAACCGTTTCCAGAGCCACGGTGGTGGTTTCGGTTGCGGAAAGAACTTTGGAAAGGTATGTCGCCCCAAGGGGGTCCGAGTAGATGGTCCGCGAACTCTGGATGACGGGCTGCTAAGTCGTCCAAGTGGGCTCGAATGTCGCTGCGACGACCAAACCCTTCGTCGTCGAATGGAAAACCCTGCGAATAAAACAAGAATATCAGATATTTTTCTTCTTATTCGATTATCCAGCCTTAGCTTCCTCCGTTCCAAGTATAGAATTTTCTTTGCTTCGAAAATGTCGATTCTATGTAATAGCTGTGTTAAAGCGCCACTCGAAAATCTGCTGTTCGGTAAAGCTGCGATTATAATAAGCCAAGTTATAATAAAGTTATAAAATAAGTGCATTCGCTCTCGCGTGCAAGATATTCTATAAACTATTAAAGAAATAAGCGAAAGTAAAGTTAGCGAGACAGCTGGCAAAGAGAAATTTTCCCTAAAATGATCAAATAATAAAATAAGTAAAATAAACGATCCGAATATGTATAATATACATATAAGAATCGGTTAGAGAGGCAAGGTTTCTAAAAATTTTTATCGAACCCGCGTGGATTCGAGGTGTAGGAAAATAAAAGGCCGAGGTCAAATTCGATATCTAAGGGTGCGAAGAAAAGTTTAGGCGGCTATGGGTAACCGTAACCGGAGAAGCAGAAAATCAGAAAACTGGGTGAATGTCGACGACGTGTTCGTATAAATAATTCTCGCGAACTGTGTCATGGGCTTCGAAATGATCCGAGACGGATACCGCTTTTATTATACATTCATTTCCTGATTTCTTCGCGACACGACATTTCGATCTACTTAAGCCTCGAAAAACCTAACCAGAATAGAGAAGAAAAATCGTCGTTGTTAACCGAGAACACCTTACTACCGCCCACGCGACATCCGTCGCTTCGAAACATCATTGCCGATGGCATTAACGGTTAACAGTGTCGTTTCATCGTTCAATCGAAACCGGTTTCGTTTCGTTTCGTTTCTTTTTTATTTTGCGCGTGGAAAGTCGATTAGATCACTAGCAAAAATACCGTGTTATCGTACGCGCCTAACCGAGCATTAAGCACGTTATCGCGTTGAAGTTTTCCAAAAATATTTCTAGCGGAACACTTACGGACGATTAGAAAATCGATTCTGCCGACTACTAGTACTATACGTAGTCTTATACTTATACGCAGTATAATATAGACACTAAATAGAGTGTTTTTAATGCTAAAGTATATCATCGCTGTACGTCGAGATAATTGCTAGCAGCGACTCTAACCGTCACGGTGTCTCGAGACGAGCCTAATACGGTCGAGAGCAGTGTAAACGGGAGAAAATAAAGTGTACGAGGACGGACCGCGATTATATTTCCTTAGATATTTATCTTTTTTCCTCCTGATCGAGTAACGCGCATCGTGTCCTCAACGGGGCTAGAGGGCGGGGGAGGATCAAGGAGAAACGTCTCCGTTAGTTTATTATTAGCGTGATCACGCTTGTGTTTTGGAGGAATGGACCTTGTTTCTAGGAGAGCGTGCTCGAAACATTCTCGGCTAAAATTGTCCAAGAATTATTCGAACCAAATACTCGCGCGAATCACCGATTAGTACTATCTCGATAGTATAGAATTTTACGTTGTCGACGCTTAACGATCTGTCGATAGTATATTCGAAAAACGTTAAAAACTCTTTAAACTTCGTATGTCGTCTAACTTCGTTTCGAACAACGACAATGGCATTTTGTCGATAACGGCAGCTCCAATCGAGAGATACGCGAATATCGGTATAAGATCATCGGTAATAATCGCGAAGAAGCCAGGATGAACAGCAGCGGAGGAACTGCTAATATTCTGAATACAGTTTACGGAAGTAGTCACCGACGAATTTAACCTTCGAAGGGCTCCGCGCGCCACGCGTGTCTATATTAAAAAGGGGATTCCTATTTCTACGTATCTCTATACTCCCCTGAATACTGAATGCCAACCAGCAGATAGAAACTGAAAATTTTCAAAAATATCGAAAAATTCGTAAAGATTCCATCGAAGAATCTCGCGCGATTTAAGCGCGATAAAAGTGCGACGAACGCGCAACGATGAGAAGAAAGAATCGTGAACGATAAGTCGAAAAGGAACGTAACTTGTATCTGGTTGTTCGGAAAAAAAAGAATGTTACGCGATTATCTGGTCGACGGAGAAAGCGAGGAATCCACGAGTCGACGAGTCACCGTTTCGGAGCAACGAAAACGTACGTCACTCTTAGCGAATTCTATTTCTAACTTCCACGCGATCTTGCGGAACGCGAAAGAGAAGGTCGAAACGTTACACGCAAAAACGAGAACATCGATACGACGTGTACGGAAATCTTTTAGCGAATTGCACGAACGCCAGAATTTTTAACGTAACGAGCGATTATGTCACGAGTGACAAGTGTACGAGCACGTATACACGTATACGTATAGTACACGTTCGATCGTGACTAGCAAAAACATGCTGATAGAAAAACTTGGAAATTCGAAGGTATCGCATAATCTGAAAAATATGAAAATTTTCCTACTAATAAATCGTGATCGAAGGAGAACGACGAGAAAAATGTATCGAGTCTCGAAAGATCTGGAAAAGTCTCGCAAACGTCACCAGACTACCTATGTACATATGTACCAGCTAAATAGGCACGATTCAAAACTGCACACTCTGACGTAACCTTATCGACGATTCGAATTACTCCTTCCGAATCTCGTTACTTTTCGTATGTATAGAGGCATAGAATGAAATTCATACAGCCTGTACAAATGACAGTGAACGTATACCGTTCAAACGAACGTGACGATGGAAAAATATTACACCACTTACGGGGAACGGATGATCCAAATCAATCGGTTCTCCGAATTCGGATGCTTTGTCCACGATGACAGGCGAGTCCATTTTCTGGACTTTTTGGTCCGTGTCTGATTTAGAACACGGGCTTTCCTTTTTTGTCTCTCGCGCGGACAACAAGACCTTTCTTTTAAATTGCTGGCTTCTAGGGAGAAGTTTAGTCGTGGCCTTTTTCACGGTTAACTACTTATTTGTAGGTTAAGTGTTTGTTTCTCTTTTTATTTGCTTTGCTACGTTTTCAAAGAATCAGCCAAAAAGCTCACTAAATAACAGTGCCGGTGTGTTAACAAAAGGCGAACGAAAATTAAACGTTTTGGCAGCACACTCTCGTTTTTTTTTTCTTTTTTTTTTTAAATATCTTTCAAAATTACCGAGAGAACAATGAGTGACAGTTGTCTCAGCCTACGCGTTTCTTCGTTCGATCTTCCTTCTCCCTATTTTTTCTCTTTCTCGCACAATCTTCCTTTTATCGTTATATAAGAGAAACACGCTAGTATTCGTTTAGTTTTTTCCACTGTACAACACTGTCACACGCACACACACACGCGCGCGCGCGCACGTTCGCGAATCAAAGTTTCGTGCGTTGAAAAGAATCGTTTCTTCCGAATAATCGGGAAGACGCACGCGTTAACGAACAACGCGGGTTCAGGTCAATAGCGAAACTGTCAGTGCGCGCCCAGAGGAACTTAAATATATTTGTTGTGTGGGACGCATCGGGGGCCACGTGACTGGCTGGCCGAGCGTGGCCGAATGTTCGCGGAAACGACCGAAAGAACGTGCCAGAGTATACTAGAACATTCGTCCCTGTTTCGCTTTTTCGAGAAACGGCACGCGACTATCGACGACTAATACGAGAAAGAAACGAGGGCCGATTACGATGCTCGCGGATGTTGCAGCTGATCAATGACGACATTTCACGTCGCTTCGTTTATAAACAATCATAATAAAAACAATATAAGCGAAAATGCTCGCGATTTCTGTGTCTCGTAAGTAATGACTGAAATGAAAGTATTATCAAATAATCGATATAATTATCGAAAATAAATGCATATATCACTGACAACGTTGAGAATGTTGTCTTTTTGATCTTGAAAAGGCGTTGAAATATCCCTTGAACGAGATTTATTGCTCTCTTTCGCGTTTTCTTCGTTTTCGTTTTATAATTAACCTGCCAGGCAAGGCTGTACCCTGGACTTGTTTACCTATATCCTTTTATAGTAAGCACGAAATCTCATCGTTTTCGTATTCGAATCCAAATACGAAAAGTTGGTCAATACACTTTCTTTCGACGGTTACATACGCCGTTTATACCGTATAAATAGATCACTCGATTAATTTAGGATTTATGGTCGTAATTATTGTTCTGCGGAATTCTGCCTACTTTTTCTTATTATTTTATTATTCACGATATAATCGTGAATCATCGCGAGCGTGTATTAATAGCGTGCGGCTGATTCAATGGACACTGCTTAATCTATACATATATAGATGTAGATCACAGATTGTACTCGATGAAGAATCGAATAGAATCGACCGGTTAACAAATAAATCGAATGGTGAAAATGTATTTTTGGAATCACTCGAGCCATAAATAGGATCGTTTGAAAGGTTCGTATGGTAGGTCGCTCGCGAATCTCCGAGTTTACGACGATAATATTAAGTGGTAACCGAAGAACCCTGTACAACCGACAGTTAATATTTCGGGCATGGATCACCGGGAATCCATTCTTACCGAAAGAAATCTTTATCGGAACGACAAATAATAACACTCGACTTTCATTCTCGCTCGAGCAAAATCACTCGAGTACAGAGTACGCATAGAGTCCGCTGTGAAAATTGTTAGTCATACGATCATATGGCCCTGGTCCAAGTTCATCTATCTATCTATCTATCTATCTATCTATCGTAAAAATATGTACGTACACTATGCCGATACTACTATGATATTACGATGAAAATGTTGTGTTACGTTCGAAGGTTACTTTCGGGGAGTATTTTATGCATAGTATATCTTTGTTGGAGAGTAGTCAAAGAGCGAACAAAGTTTATGGAAAAAGTTGTTGAAACCTTTTTGTTTCGACGTTTAATAATTGAAATAGATGTTTATATTTATATTTAAGTTTAAAATTGTGTGCCAGGAAAAGTTGAAAGAGAACTATTTCGAAAACGGACCATCCACGCTATTTCAAATTGTCAAGGCAGGGTCATTGTATCAAAGCGTTCGATATCGTTGAAAATAATTACAAATTAATTGTAATTGCGTAGACGCGCAAGAAAGAGCCGAATTATTGGCGCCACTTACCTAGGCACGTAAGAAGAAGAGAGTCCGTGCTTGTCGCGTTCTCGCGAATAGCGAACCATTTGATTACCGTTAGGTTCTACAGGATAAGTTATGCGGCGGAAAGTATCGAACGTAATTAGGCTCGATAAATTAAGAGTAATCCTACACATCTCGCACTCGAAGAAACATCGTCGCGTCGATTCATTGCGCACCGTGAACGCACGAGTTAAGTTTGCTGGACGGATGACTCACTTCAGGCCCCCTATGGGATACGGATTATGTAATCGATCGAATGGCAATACATCGGCAAAAAGTAGCATCTGCGGACTGCGCGTAACATCGCGTTTCGACAGCCTACGAGATCAACGAAATAAACGATGTCGATGTATTCGGCTCGCGCTTCCGAGTTCCGAAAGTACTGTTCGATTTTATTTTTCGCATTTAAATCGGTATACGAGTAGACTTAGTTTGCGAAATTTAACGTTAACTATAGGACAAAATCATTTATGTAAGCAGAGGATTTTTTTATGTAAATCCTATGCGGTTAGTAATTATCTGTTTCGTTAATCCATCGCGGAACAATATATAGAATACTTATCGAGATTAACCTTGCACCTTCTATATATAACAAGTGCAGTACAAGTTGAATTAGAATGAGAATTAGAATTAGAATTAGAATTAGAATTGGAATTAGAATTGGAATTAGAATTGGAATTAGAATTGGAATTAGAATTGGAATTAGAATGACGCATTGATATACCTATAAGTTCGTTTCTACGCTTCTTATCGTAGATAATAATTATTCGTTTTAACTATTAATTTGAACTCGCGTCGAGGCTTAAAAGGAAAGCAACGATACTTTACTCGAGGTAAAACAGCGATGTATTATCCGATGAAAGAGCCGTGCCGAAGAGGTGTTGCCATCTAACGGCAAGATAAGTAACCTGAAAATACTTAATTACAGTATTTACGAAGCAATTATAAGACTAGAAATAATAATCGCGCAAATATAATGTTGGTTAAGAATATGTTGGCTAAAAATACATAATATTAGTTGATATTCTGGTTAATCGAGAAGAGTTACGTACGATTTAATTTAATTTACGTTGGTTAATATTCGTTGGTTAAAGCTCGAAAGAGAGAGAGAATTAATTAATCATACGATTTCGTGCACGCGTCTCGATCGTTCGCGGTCGCGCGCGATCATCGACAATGATGATCGATGATCTACGGTGATCGATAGTAATGCCAGGAGCGCACGAGGCCCGAGGAAGTTGATTCTATCGTCGTTTCACGATCGTGCCCACGACCCACGCAACACTCGGACGTTTCCTTGACGTCATTCGAGGCCTGCAGTAGACCGAACGCGGCAGGCAGATTCCCTTACTTACTTACTTACATACTTACTTATTGTTAGAGAGCACGAGAGACATTGTACGTTCGTGCATAAGTGCGTATACACGCATTCTCGCACGTACGAGACCTACAGTCGGCCGTCAACGGGTAATACTTTATCGATGGACGTCGAAAACCCGTTTTACAAGCTAATACGGAGATTCTCAGAATCAACCCTGTGCTGTCCGATGCTATTCGATGCTATTCGATGCTATTCGAATACGGTTCGAGGAGAAATCGTCGTTCGGTCGTAACCGATACGACAGGGTGTGACGATAAAAGCTAAAAGCTCGCTAAAAGCTTGGAAGGTCAGGCGGTGTCTATCGACACGCCGACGGTAATCCAGCTCGATTCGATGTCTGTAAAATGAAATTTCATTCGGCGGCTTCTTGGAAGATATGCAAGAATTTGATCGCTGTAACGTTACGCCGTCTGTAACGGTGCCGTCACGATGCATGCACGAACAAAAGAGATGATCGAGAGATAAGGCAATACTATTTTAGGTGCAAAGCGTTATCGAGCGCCGTAGGAATAAAAAGTATCGGTAAGAATCTGTAAGAAATTGGTGACGCGACGTAAAGGGCTCTTTCCCTTCGGCGATTCGCAGAAGGGAAGCATCAAGCGGATAGGTATTTTATGAATGACTCTCGGCCTGGGACGTGTTTCGTGGAACTCGGTGGAACTCGGTGGAACTCGGTGGAACGGAGAAAGAGATCACTCGCAAGATGTCCCTTTCCACGCGCGATGCATCCCAATCACTCGTATGAGTCACGGAATGAAATTCGTGCTAGGTCATCGACTGGGAAACGCGGACGAACTTCCCGTTCGTCTCGAGTTCCTTCTTCTCTTTTCTTTATTCTTCTATCGAACTCCTGGTCCAGCGAATTCGAAAGAAAACGAATGAAAACCGTGGGAAAACCGATACCCCACCGACGACGCCAATATGCCAACGCAAATATTGACAGACGAACCAGACGACTATATGATTTTTCTCGTTCGCGATAGACTTCGCCATAAAACGTTGCCACCTTCTGCAAAATTCATAAAGAGAGAAAAGAAAAAGGAAAGAAAAATCTCGTTTTCAACACGATACGACAGATTGTTCTGGATCTAAGTCGTTGCTCTGGAATGGCGAAAGAGAATCAATGGCGGCTATTTTGAGGTCTCGTCGTCGTCGTCGTCGTCGTCGTCGTCGTCGAGAAAGTTCCTTCGAGAACGTCCCCTCGGAAAATAACTGATTGTTAACACCGTATTGTGTACGTACGAGAGAAATATTTCAAATATTTTTCAACTTATTAAATAGATTATTAAATACGTAGAGAAAATTCGATGAAATCGTACGCGGTTCGTCGACTAAGAGCTAAGAAGACAAACAGGCGAGTAAACGGCAAGTCGTATCCCCGAGAACGCGAGCCGAGAACATTTGGCAACAAACGCGTTATTTCTGGGTCCTTCGCGCGGACCGTTGCGTTTCTCGAGTCGCGCTTCTGAAGCAACCGCTTTCGAACCTTTGCGATGCGACGCTATCGAGAAACCCATGGCCAGCATATTGATCCAGTTTCGAGCAGTGAAACGGACCATGTATGCTCACCCTCCTCTATTCGAACAGACATTTAATAAGATCGGCCTGTTTTTCAAAAATTATGCCGCGATGGCTATCGATGGCTATCCGATCGCCATCAGCGCATTTACGCGAATAATAAAACGAGACGAGTCGTGAAGAACTGCTTGGAACGCGGTTCGATTATACCTACAATTACGATAAAATACCTAAATTGTAAGCTTGTAAAAGCGTGTATAGTTCCACATGGCCGACAACGGCTACCGACAGCTATTTTCGATCCGTTTGCAACCGTTTCGTCGAGAGCAAGAGAATCCTTCTCAGCGGGTATGATTTATTGCGTCGACCTTTATTGTCTCGTTCATCTTTTTCGCTGTTTCGACGATATCGTTCGCCGCGTTTAATGGTGCTTTCGAAAGGGGCAAAGAAGAGACCGTGCCAAGAAAGCATAATGGCGCGCGTGTTCGCGTATTTTAAGTTGTGAAGCACGTGCCCGGTATGTACCGCGAAAGTTGGTTACCTCGAATTTGAAAGTGAATCGTTTAGGCGACGTGTCTTTCGTTTCGATCGTGTTTCCCCTCGTCTTACCAATGAAACGTGCCGTAAATAGTGGAAGCAGAACTTACTTTCCCGTTCGAACCAACGTACGCGAGTATACGCCACCGATCCCTTTCTTTCCAAATAATAAATATCTCTACATATATTTAAGGCCTTACGCGAAACTAACCTAACCCTACCAAAAAGAAACACGCTTTGGAAAAACAAACAATATTTACCAATCATAGAAGAATGATAAACGAAGAAAGGTAAGCGCATGAAATATCTATTATGTTAAAAAAAAAGAAGAAGATTTTTTTGCCAAAATATTTATTCCTCTTTTAAATGGTAGATAAGCATCTGGATGACTACTAGTATCTATATCGATAGGTAGATTGTAACGTTTAGTGAACGCGATTAACGAAGAAAGGTCTAAAAACTCGAAATTATACGTAAATATATCCAGCGACAGAATTTTCAACGGCGCGGTTAATACTATACGTGCATATATGTATACGTAGCATACATATTCGCTTGCATTTTTATGGCCCGACGTACTTTGCCAAATTCCAATGGTCAACAAACACGGCGCTTCGTTTTTTTTCTTTTCCAGTTCCTTGCCTTCTGAAAATATCAAGATCGTGGCAAGAATAACCGGCGAGCAAAGAAAACTAAATACTCACCGTTCGAACGACGCAGAAATTGGGCCACTCTATAAATAAAGAACTTTTGGACAACGGCATTTAAATGAATTTTCATCGTTTCGACGAATCAAAAATCCTTTTACGATCGTGTTCGTTAGATTTTCTAAATAGAAACTCATCGACGAGTTGACGGTTCGATATACGAATCGTTATCGAAAAACTTTGAATTAAACGAGGAAAATAATAAACTTACCCTTGAAAAAGCGGAATGTCGTTCAAAGGGATCTCGTCCTGATCTAGTGGACGGCTCGAAGAACGATTTGCTGTCTTCGTCGAATTGTTGTTTGATTTCTTCTAGGAGTTCGTCGCCGGATTTACCGCGCAGTCTATCGCTGAATTTCGGCTTATCACGAAAGTAGAACGACATTTTTCTCACCTATATGCACACCAACGTTACACGTACTATTGGCCCGTTGCACTAATTACTTTTCGGTTGACACAAAATCTCCGATTCGACATAAAATATGTACTTCTCGTTTCGCGAAGTAAGAAAATCAAACGCACCGCATAAAAACTCGTTCGAGGTGTCGCGCGTGACTGAAACGACGAAACCGCGCGCCGAAACGTACGGAGAGTAATCAAAGAACGCGCATGCGCTCTTTTACTTTGTTTTACCCTTTGCGATCGTACATCGTCCCTATCTTTTCGGCTTTCGATCACTAGCCAATCACGATGTGTATCGTCATCGATTTACATCGAATTACCAGTAGAATCCCGATGCACGTTTCGATGCATACAACGCTCGGACTTTTTACCATCTAAATTTAATCGAAATTTAAACGTCTAAATTTATATTTTCCATTTTTTTTTTCGTATTTATAAACCGGCCCAGAATCTATCGTGTAATACATTCGTTTATTGCTACGTAATCGAGACAAAATTACATACCGCTTTATATAACAATCCGATAACGCATCGAGTCTACGAGAAGTTTTTATTTTTCTTACGTATAGATATTATAGATGCCATATGCGTTTTAGAGAAAGAACATTTTCTATAAACGAATATTTTATATATTTAATTATGTACATCGTGTATCGTTTACCCTTAAAAATAATGCAAGAATATTAAGTATTAATCGTTCCATATAAACGAGATCGAACTTCTCTTTTTATGCACAGTTTATGCGCTTTATTTTATAATTAATAGCAGTCCATTGAATTTACATCTCCTTTCTTATGTATAGTTAGTATGTCTTCCATTATAGATTCGAAACTGGTGGTGTAAGTAGATAACCATCGGCTCCTGTCTGCGACGTAAGCATCGATATCCGAATTAAAGATTTTTTTAAGGAAAATTTGCCTAGTAACGCGAGAAACCGATTTAAGCGTTTTCCCTTCCGTTTTCTCCATTTCCTCGTTCATTTTCATCGAATTCTTGCAAATAGAAGCAAGCAAATTCGCGTCGTTAGCGTCCACGATTTCTTCGATTACGTTGCTGGAATTACTTAACGTTTGATTAGCGTTCGGATTTCTCGCATCCTCGGATAATTCGTATTTAACGTAACAAGTATCTAATACGGCACTGTTTTCAGGCAAAGTCAGCTCTGGTAATGGTTCGTTAAGTTTGTATTTTAAAAGAAATTTTTTCAATTTATTTATGATCAATGCTGATTTTTTGCATACTTCGAAATCACTTTCATCTTCGAGAGTTACTAAAAGCACCTGAAATTTAATGAAATATAATATAAGTTATTGTACCTCCTCGACAAATGTTACCGGTTAACTTACTCCTAAACAATTTTGCCTCGCTAATTCGTCCAATGCTTTGTTAAGCCTTCGCTTAATCTCGGTTTCGTTTAAAGCGACGATTTTTCTATGTTCTTTGGAAAATGTTACGTTTGGAAATTGACCATCGAGTACCCCTTGGTCGGATAAATGCGATTTTATGGATTCTATCCAAAAATCCAGAGCATTTATCTTCACTTCCCAATGGAGATCGAGAACAGCAGCCGTTGACATTGCGCGTGACATTAAATCGATAACGTCTTTCCTAAATTAAAACTTTCCCAGATTAAAGCGATCAACAGTCGTCTTGCAGTAACGCTTCACGATTTTAAACAGAAATTTTACTCACTGCCATTTACGATGTACGTATAATTCCTTCATTAGAATTACAGCCTCTTTCCTAACTATAGCCTCGCTTTCTTCCCTTAGTAATTTCATCGCGATATCCTGAAATGCGAAAGAAAATAAAACAACGATACGTTCCTCTTTCTATGTTTCACGCGTTTCTATGTAATCGCTTCAGCAAAAACATACAGGTAAGTTGTACCGCGATAATTTTTCATCCCATATTTTGTTAATTCGAACGGTGCTGGAAATAAAAATCAGAGCAGAAGCTCGAACGTAACTTTCGCAGTCTGATTTAGCGATTTCAATTGCCACTTGTACAAACTGATTTGCTAATAAAAATTCTTGAAATGCTGGATATTCTGGAAAAATAATTATCCTTCTTACCTATTATGTTCATTAATTTTACTATACATTGTTACCTACTGTCTTCTGAAATAATTGCTATAGTATTCAAAACTTCTAGCACGCTATCACGAACTTCCCAATTGACATCGTGTAATCGTTTGAAAAGCGTTGGTCCTATTTCGTTCATATGGCTATCTGTTTCGATCAATAGCACTAAATTCGATGGCATAAAATTCTGAATCGCTAATTTACATACTCTTAAAGCTTTCACGCAAATCTGAAATAAAAATTCCAAAATATACGCGCGAATACTTATTTATTATTTTTATATTTATCAAGTACCGTAGCCAATGCTCCTGGATGATTTAATATTTCTTGCGCTATAGATAACAAGCACACAGTCTCCACGCATTCTTGCCATTTTAATTTAAATTTTTCTGTCATAATTGCCAGAGCGTTTAACAGCGATGCCAATAATGTAGGATGATCGACTATCGGATCTCCTTCTAATGGACATTTAAATACATATTTCTTCGGTCCATTATCCACGTTTGTTAAATTATTTATCCCTGCGTTATCTGCATTTTCGTCTGTATCTATATCTGGCACATAATTCTTTAGAACATGAGAAAATATTTGAAATGCGATTACCGCTACGTCCTGATGAGAAAATACAATATCATTATCTTACTTATATAGAGCTGTTAATTATTACGATTAATTTTCATCGTACGTACCCTATCTATAATATCTATTATTTCTAGAACCATGTCGATAGATGTCTTTGCAATTTGAACTGCCGGCAAGTCGTTCTTAATAATAGTATCTCGTACCTTATATGCTAGCCTATGCACGGTTGTAGATGTAATATTAAATATTTTAGTAACAAACATGTTAAAAATATCGGTATCTCTATATTTCAGTCTAATACATATAGCCAAAGGTAAAACCTGTTAATCAGAAAATATGTGACTCGATTAAATGCTACCGATATTAAGCACGGTATTAAACGTACTTACCATTACAGATATAATTTGATGTTCAAATTTGTGTTCGTGCGGAAGAGCAATTGCGCGTAACGATTGAAGTTTCTTCCAATATATCATTAAAAGTTTATGTATTCGTATTACTTCTGTTAAATATGTTTTTGATAAAAGCATTAGCAGTATGTAAGTTAAATCGCAACAGAATTTTTGCGACGTATCACAATCGACAGCTTCCTTTCCTTCTTTAATTGCACGCCTTAGCGGAATAAATAAACATTGTAACAGTAGCTTTTCAATATACGATAACAGTCTAGTACTGATGCATGTCTCGAAAAGAGCTTTTACTCTCAATTCTAAATCGATCACTTCCTCGCATAATTCAGGTATCGTATTATCAATATTTACAAAGAATGTATTTTCAATAATGTTACTCAACAAATCTAATGTTGTACATAATAATTTATTCTGCTCCAAACAATTATCGTTTAAAACGTGGTATACTTGAGTCTCGAAAGTGTTAGTCATTAACGGCGAAGCCACTTCTAAAATAACTTCTTTACAAAAATTTATATTTTGCTGTTCGTATAATAGCAAAAGCCATACGAACTTTTGACTTGCCCGTGTAACGTACAAAGTGTGATTCCAATGAGCATATTTTACAATGTCTTTCCAAATACCTAGAAAATATTTACATTTTATATTTATATTTGTACATAATTTTCAAAAATTATTATAGAAACGTATCGGTTCAATTACCAAATTTTATAATCCATTGTCTTCCGCTTCTGTGTTCGATCAAATTCGACAACATTGTGGTATATGCCATTTTAACGGATACCGGTATATCGTCTCCGCGTAGTTTGAAAGTACTACATAGTCTATTATATAGATCTTGGTTCTGCCAATAATGAAAATGTAACTCGTTACGCGAAATTATGCCCACAAGTTTTAAAGTAAATATCATTATGGGCTGTGAAGGTAAAAATTCGACGCTCCAAACATTTAATGCCTTTGATATCCATTTCCAAAATAATTCGCAGTGTTCGTAATCGTTCGTGTTGCCTGAAATAAAATAACTTGAAGGAATACTTGAGGAATAAAGTGAAAATGTAAATGTAAATTTACGTAACGTGTAAATTATAAAACTACGTAACAAATATGACCAAAAGTTTCTAAGTAATGTGTATAATAATGAAAAGTATTTCCTTACGCTCTTTTATATTCTTAGAAATATGTGACAGCATAAGATCAAGATACGTTGTGGACACAATGTCGTAATTAGGTAACAGGAATAGCTCCAAAACTTCTGATAACCTTTCGTCAGTTTTCAACGATGTCATTGTGCTCTGATCTTAAACTTTTATAGATTTATGCAATAAACTATGTCAAATCCCACTTTTATTCTTCTTGTATTTACTTTAACGATAAATACTATTTTTGATACTCACATATTTATCACGTTTTATCTCGCAAACGGAATAAACAGAGAATATTAACTATTTAATATCAAACAAATATTTATACTTGAACATTTATTCTGTAAACAATATAACGATAAGAAAAAACTTGTACAAATCAGAATTAAGTACTATTTTCATCAAAGTAGAAAATCTTTATTCATTTATAGCGGTTATTTTATATAAATTCTGATAAGTAATTACGTGATTTAAATTTGTATAAAAAAAAGGATTACTTCATCGAAATTATCGTAATATTTAAAAAAATTTAATTGTTCAGTTTTAATTATGGATGTAATTAACACAGACGAATTATATATGTACATATAAGATAAATCACACATGCTACTGTTATTTGCAACATAAAATCTGTAATACCGGCATCATCAAAAACTAGGCTTTTACAGTGAGAGTTTCATTACTTGATTTACGTTTCAAAAAGATGATTTTCAGACCTACAGCAGCATTCTAAAGCACTCTATTTGTATATTAAATTTATTTTTAACAGATTTTTATATATTATTATACGAAAAATGATGATTCTATGTTTCGTCATTTCCGCGTTTGATCGTTAGATGGCACTGAGATACAATTCTCGGGTAAATTTCGAAGTGCATGTAAATGCGAAATTTTCGAAATACATATTTTAGAGAATTGGAATAAAATGATTTTGCAAAATATAATTATTCTTCGTATTTTTTTTTTTTTATTTTCTACATATTTAACCGTCACGATACTTCAATTAACAACGTGAACTCGTATATAACATACAATTATACTGGAAAGTTATTTAAACAGATATAATGTACAAGTATAGTATTTTATTATGCTACTGAAGGAGAAAACAAAGCTTCTAAAACATAAAGCAAGTAGTAAAACACCTCTGGAAAAGCAGAGTTTTCGATAATGTCGGTATTTCAGATCTTGCGCTGCAATAGCAGTGCCACGAGTGGTTTGTCTTATATGTTCACTTCCATCCATCGTGTTATTATCATTGAGTAACACAAAGTAATAATTATAATTTTGAACAAGTGTGGTAGATATTTACCGTGACTTTATCTTTGAAGTGTAATGAACTCTAATTTGCTATTTTATCTATCATAAATGAAGAAGATCGTAATTTTATACGAACCGTGATAACATTATGAAAATTGTGCACACTTTTTATTATTAATTTCTTCATAACAAAGGTATATGATTTTTATCTGACACTTTCTTCTTAAAACGTTAACGATCATTAAATTGATTGTTAAAGTTTTGCTATTCTCGAGGTGAAATATAATATTATTCATAGTATAAGGTTTCTCGTTTTTATGATACCACTGTAACTATTAACAGTACTGTAATATGACAAGACATCCGTTCATCATACTCTTAACGTTAATGAATTTTCTTATAATAGCGCTATATACCGTAGGTTACATATTTTTCATTCGTATCCATGAATATGTTTTCAATTCTTGTATAATTCTTTTATTATGCAATTTATTGGTGTTTTAATTAATTCCATTTATACAGTAATCAGTTTCAATTGAATAAAGCATATATTTCCAGAATATCTAAGTATATTAAGTTGTTTTATGTCAGCAGATAAAATCATTTATATTCAAATTAAAAAATTAGATTTTCATAAAGTATTTATACGTTACATGATTAGATTAATGGTGACACATAAGCAACGATTACCAAGAATGAACAGTAAGATTCCTTTGTTATCTGAAACCATGATATTACGTGCCTTTGTGTCTTTACTTTCGTTCGACTAGCAGTTACAAATTCAGTAATGTAAATATTTTTAAATGGTTATAACTACAGTTTAAACGTGCCTCTTTTCTATGAACTTGTAAATATAATTTTCAAAACTTTTATAGATTATTAAAAATGACATGGACACATTATCAATGTGTATTAGCAGTTCTTATGGTTATTACCGGATCGTTTAATACTTTGACTGTGAAGTAAGTAAATTATTAAGCGAAATAAATAATGAGTAGATAGAGAAAAGAATTGATGCATGTTTCAGATACGCTGATCAGCAAGTTGTGCCTGGCGAAGATGGTCAGCCAAGACATTTTAATCATCCTTTTATGCAATCTTCCTTCATGTTCATCGGTGAAATGATGTGTCTTGCAGTATTTAAAATCGCTTATTATTACTATAGCCGCAGAGGCGTAAGTTTTGTATTAAATGTTAAATGGATATATAGATCGCTTCCACCTTATACAATATGTTACATTTAAATCATGCAATTGCAGGATAATTCTATAGATAATCCTTTAACTAGAGGATCTCAAGTGTTTAACCCCTTTATTTTACTTATCCCTGCATTATGCGATACGTTCGCTACTTCTATTATGTATGTGGGTCTAAATATGACGTACGCGAGTAGTTTTCAAATGCTACGCGGTGCTGTTATTATATTTACGGCCATACTTTCAATGGGTTTCCTTAATAGAAGATTAGGTAGTCGAGAATGGATAGGTATAGGAATGGTTATAGTCGGTTTAGCTCTTGTTGGACTCAGTGATATAATAACTATGGAAGATGCGAATAATAGCATAAACTCTATATTAACGGGAGATTTATTGATTATATGTGCTCAGGTAAAATTTAATTTTACATCGGTTTCAGATCTTCTCTGCTCGAATAACAAAGTTCTTCCGTTTAAATAAAAATATTACAGGTCATAACCGCGATTCAAATGGTGGTGGAAGAAAAGTTTGTAGCAGGACAAAATATTCCTGCGTTACAAGCAGTTGGATGGGAAGGTATTATACCGTACTTATAAAATATCTGTTTAAATAACCAAAATAACTGATACGTAAATGCGTGAGTATTGTTTTGAAAAATGTACACGTTAAAAAGTATTTTGTGTACAGGTGTATTCGGATTCATTAGTATATGCATCATTATGATTCCTCTTAATTTTATACACGCTTCGCCTCCGTTCGCTGACAATTCCCAGGGTACTCTTGAAGCTACTAAAGATGCATTAATTCAGATTGGAAACAGTGGTCATCTGTTGATGGCAATAATTGGTCAGTATATGCATGTATATTATTTATTATATATATTTATTGAAGACTCGTTTTATAAATTGTGTATATCTAGGTATATCGTTCAGCATTGCTTTCTTCAATTTTGCCGGTATTAGTGTTACTAAAGAAATAAGTGCTACTACAAGAATGATATTAGATAGTGTCCGAACTATTTTTATATGGGGTTTCTCTTTAATAGTTGGATGGCAAATTTTCCATTATTTACAGGTAAACCGTCTATTTTCAGTTCTTACAAATCTGTTCATTCAAAATCGAAACTAAGTCAGAAATAGATTTTTGTAAATAATATTTAACAATTAACGGAATAAATTTATTATTTTATGCAGCTAATTGGATTTACCATTCTTCTGATTGGAATGTCATGCTACAACAACATCGTTATTCCACAATTAGTAAGGAAATGTAGATATTATTTATGTCGTCATAGACCACCACCAAATGACCGCGTACGAATTATAAATACTGCAGCAGACGATGTTCCAGAAACTCAATGTGTATTTTAACTAAGACATATTTGGATATATAACTAATATCGTGATATTGAGAACTATTATTCGTTTCTCTAAAGAACGGTCAAGCCTGTGATCTTAATAATTTGTGAAATACATTTAGCTCTCTTCGATTCAAAAATTGATTATTGCATTTTAATAAGATACCAAAAGTAATTAAGTGGAATTTTGATCGATCTAGTGATCGTTACATAAAAACATCATCAATCAATGAGATTCATTTGATTCAGTTTTAAAATGTACTATCGATTCAGCTTAGGATAAATTTTTAAATTATAATGGTACATATTAACAGGCCTGGACTTATGGGCTTATTCGTAATCAACTATAATATTACGAGTCATTGCAAAGATTAGAAAGTTGGGCATTTTCTTTTCTATTCTCGGCTTAAAGACGTTTGCCACACTATTATAGCACGTGGCCACTGTTTTCTTTTTTCTTTATTGAAAGCATTGGCTCGTCATATGGCCTGGTCTTCAAATTTTGTACAGTCCAGGTATTATAAATAAAATAAGAGTATTTTATATCTATACATTTAAATGTATTTTATTACTATGGGAGAAATCTGTTAATAGGTATTAACGTAAAAAAATAAATTAATTACTTCATAATATCTTTGCTACTTTTTTTTTTCTTTTTTATCCCATGTTTATTCAAAAATGGAATTTGACCTAATTGCTAATACGCAGTGAATGTTTAAAGTTAATCTTTGTTTTTGATCGTCTTTTTCTTTTTATTCGATAAAAATTCCAATGCTTTCCTACGAAATAAGTATGTCTTATTAATTGTTCATAATCAGTCAATTGTTAAGTTACGAAATATCAATGAAGCTAAATAAAAGGGGAGTCATGTTTCAATATTACACGTGTTTATTATTTCCTACATACTGTATACGTAAATGATAGCTTATCTTGTGCAACAAATTGTGATGTAACATATACGTACGTGCACATACGCGCGAGTGCGCGCGAGTGCGCGCGAGTGTAATAATACAACACATTCATGCAAGTACATGCATGTATATGTACAGATACATAGCAGTTTTTTATATAAAATAACAAATGATACTTTCATAAATGAAAAATGATATATTTTTTGTGCTCCTTTCAATAAATTGTCTATAAGAACAAATATATTTACGTTACTGCACGTTAGTCGGTGATCGTTGTGTTATTTTTACTTACATCCCACCTCCTGATAAAATTGAAAATGCTGTATGGAATGTTTAATAAATTTTTCTATCCTTATGTTCTTCTAACCGTTGATAGAATGCTGTCACTTTCCAGTTACCATTCATGTACCACTCCATCGATTACGACGACGGAAACATAGTACAGTATGTCGTATGACGGCATTCGATTACAAATTGACATTACAATATTTAATATCAATACTACAAATCAAGCATTATATATTCATTCCAAGAACTGATGCGTCCTTGTAGCTATAAGTGAACCACGCATGGCATAACCATCGAAACTATCTAAGGTTTAAATGAACTCGTAACATTTATTATGCATTTACGACAGACAATGTAAATGGAAGATGAATTCAATTGTATTGCTCTGGCAATACGTAGGAAATATCGTCCCAAGGATGCCGATATAGACCTTGTTTCAATCGTTTTTGATCCATATAGTGACCTACGGTAACAAAATTTAATTAAGTTTTTTACGAATTCTTATAACGCGATGAGATAGTAGGGAAAAAGTTACGTACCAATGAATCCTATACTCCTACCGAGAACGAATAAACTGTTTATAGCACCGATTTCAATGTACTCCTGCGCTTCTTCTCTAGTGAAACTTCCACTGTTCCTCAACATATCGACGAAGGCACAGGCAATTATACCATCAACGTTTAAAATTAGATTAGGTTTCTTCGTTGTAGTTATTTTCTCAACTTCTAATGCATATTCTACTAATGGTTTAGCAGGAAAGTTTTCCATTACATATTCTTTGATAAGCTTCACCCGCATATCCGGATTATTTATAGATTTTATGCGATGACCGATACCCATGATGAGCTTTCCTTTCTTACGAGTGTTATTTACAAATTCTTGAGGATGCAAACCGGCATCGTACGCTTCCGAAAACATACGAGCAGCGCCGTCCAATGCTCCACCGAAACGATCACCCTATCAACGTTTAACGCAGAAAACGTTAATAACGATTTTATGTTTTGTATGATAAATAGATCGTCAATTATTTTTCTTTTTCTTTCTTTTACTTACTATGGTCAAAAGGCCGGATACAAGAGAGCTAACTAAATCTTTACCGGCTCTTGCACAAACAATGGTGTTGTGTGCTCCAGACACAGCCGGGCCATGATCAGCCGTTAACATTAGAGACATTTCAAGAAATTTACAATAGATAGACGGCAGACATCGTTGGAACCACAATAACGAAACTACGCCACCAATTCCTACGTTCTGCTTAAGAACTTCGGTTACAGGCATTCCAGCGTACAATAATTCTTGCCCGCGTTCATCGCATATCGACGTCATGAACGAAGCCGGTTTTCGTATCAAACCAAGTTCCTAAAAGAATACAGATGTTATTAAGTATCAAGTTATAATATCTACTTTTTCAACGATTGGAAAAACTAGAAACGGCAAGAACTTTCTTCGTTACTGAACGCATACGAGTATAATTTGTATAATTACCCTAGCCCAGCTATAATCCATGGGTACGGTCGGTGGTGGAACTTCTGGTTCTGGAACGATCGTTCCTTCCTTAACGAGTTTCTCGTAAACGTTTTGCAACAGATCACCAAGGTTGTCGAAACTATCAGGTACGTGAGCGCCTGCCGCTTTCAATGCAGCGTTCTTAGAAGAAGCTGTTTCTAAATTGCTATGAGCGATTGATCCAGCGTGACCGAATTGCACCTCGGAATTAAACATACTGGCGCAAGTACCGATACACCAAGCAACCAACGGTTTTGTAACTTTTTTAGTTTTCAGTGCTTCGCATACTTCGTATTCTTCTACACCACCAACCTCGCCAAGAAGAACTATAAGTTTCACGTCAGGATTCCTCTGATATCGCATTATGTGATCCATAAATGTCGTTCCTGGATAACGATCTCCTCCGATCGCGACACCCTCCAACACTCCGTTGGAAGCTTTCGAGATGATGTTATTCAATTCATTAGACATACCACCGGAACGAGAAACGTAGGCCACACTGAAAACAATAATTTCTTTGCGTGTCAAATGATAATGACGCTCGGCAGGGTCAAAGGAAGTTCCAATCACGAATAACCAGAATACCTGCCAGGCCTATAAAGTTTACTGTGAAGGATATTGTCCATCATTCCACCGGTATTACCGATCTTGAAACATCCTGGTTTAACACCTCCGACGGTAGCCGGGCCGATAATTGTTATATTTTTTTGTTGCGCCATTAAGATTAATTTTCTTGTCATGTTTTCTGGTATACCTTCAGCGATAATGGCAATTGTTCGAATTTGAGGGAATTGCATCGTTTCCACTGCGCTGTCGTACGCAGATCTCAAAGACGCGAATGTAACCATAACGTCCGCGTCCGCGTGTTTGGTCATAGCGTCTTTCATTTGTTTATAGACAGGAATTAATATCTATTACAGGAAATCGAACAACTCGTTAACGTTCCAATAGATTTCAATTAATCGAAGAAAGTGAAAATTCATGCGTGTACGCACCTCTTTATGACCCCAGTAAAATTTCTGTTTGTGATCACCCGTGAAGGGGTATACGATAGCAGCAACAGACGGTTCAGATCTACGACAAACGAAATCAAAGTCCAACATACTTTGAACAGCTCTGGTTTGCATTCCCCAGATAATGGCTCTAGTTTTATTGCTAAAAAGTTGCTTATCTGTCGACCCATCGACGGATTCGCTTGTTTTTAGTTTGCATTGCTTGGTAGACGAAGAGGAAGTACTTTTTGCAGGAGCTGATGGACCCACATCTTGTCCAGATGGCAACAAAAAGTTTGCGGTGGAAAATTCCTGAGCCTCAGGATCCGGAATCGGTTTTTTACCTAAAGCCATCGCGCATATAGCCGTCATATGAGTTTCTGGACCGAACACATAAACTGGAATAGCGAGTCTTCTACCAACTTCGCGTATTATTCTAAAATTACAAATAAAAATGCAGTAACCAGATTTGATTAGTATTTTTTATGCTACTATCTTGCTAAAATTAAAATGTTTCAATACGTTTTTATACCTTAAACCTTCCTGATAATTAGGTCCTGCTCTTCTCACAAATATCTTCACGTTATGTTCGACGAGCTTTGGCTGATATTCTTGCAAAGCTTTTACGATACCTTTAAAAGTGGCAGCTACATTCGTAAAGTTAGCAATACCTCCACCGATGATCAAAACTTTTCCTTCTTTTCGTTTCTCTTTTGTCATTAAACTCAAAATCGTTTTGGCGTATTCGTAAGTTTGCTGCTCACTGGGTGCACCCGAATATTCACCGTAATTAGCTAGTTCATTTGCGGCACCCAAATCACAAATCGTATCAGAATATATTACGGATGCGCCTGAAAAACATCGTTTGGAAAATGAAACATACACGCGAGCACAGTGAATTTTATCGGAATAAAGCATACGACTTGACAATCACAATTTGGTTAGAATGAACCCGATTAATCACGTAAATGATACTGCTGTGCGCTTCTACTGACCACCGCCAGCAACCATTGTCCATATCCGACCAGCTGGATTAAGAATAGTTAGTTTCAAACTGGCTCCGGACTTGGCATCTAAATCGGCGATATAGGCTTCCTCTGGATAAGCATCCCTTCCGAATGGCGGTGGATAATCAATTTCTCCCCAGTCAGGTCTGCATACGAAATCCGCGGTTGTATCCAACTTTGCAGCGAGATCAAGTATGTAAATTCCATTTTTCGTTACCACCAATGGATTTATTTCCAAGTAAGTGAAATATAAATTAACGTAAAGGTTATATAAGGTGTCTATAAACTTTGCGATCACTCTAAAAAGAAAAAAGTGTACTGTTAATAGAAAAGAATTCGATGTATACGTGGACAGAACATAATTAATTCGATAAGTATTTACTCTTTTTTATCATCTGCCACGTTAACTAGTAGTTTCTCCGTTATTACAGCTTGAGACGGTGCTTCTTCTCCGACAGGTACATCTAATTTCAAAGCTTTCGCATCGACATCCCCGATATCCACACCGCCTTCATGGTGAAATAAGATAGTATCCGCTCTTCTATGAGAATAAATACAAACGTATGCTTCTTCTTCCTATAAATAAAATTTGTTAGCTTCTCTTTTCTTTTTATATTACTTTTTGACAACGATAACTACTAACCTGTTTATGAGGAACAAACGGCTCGATGATAAATGTTCTTAACTTTCCTGTGGCTTTCCCTATTTGCTGATCTTTGTTCATTCTCTCTGCGACCCATTGTTTTACCGTATTCAAATCTGCGTTCACTTTAATTAGGCCAAGTTTTCCACGTCTCTTGATCAATTGATCAGGTTTTACAACCAATTTTTCTGTCAGTAGCCAAGGGTGGTCATTCACAACATCGGTCCAATTTGTATTTTCCGTGATTGTCACGAATCTGCATTTTACCGCATTTGTGCCAGGGGAAAGTTTACGGTTAATCAGATCTTTTCCAGTTGCTTCGCGAATCGCTTTTGCCGACATTTTATATTATGTTCCTGAAGAAGCAAATATAAAAGTTTATTATTGAAAAAAACCATTTTAATAAATGTGTACGATATATTGTTATTGGAAACGGTACAGTTGCTCGGGTTGAAAATCGATGTATTTGAAAATATTTACACGCGTACGAGACGAAACGAGAAATGATTGGTTTCAAAAATTCTCGAATTGAAATTGATTGGTCCCAAAAGTAAAAGTCGGTCGACCGCATTCCAGTATCGAACGAACATAATTTATCAAAACATTACGATGTAATTTAATTCTATCGCGTACAAACAGACGTGCTTCAAAATAAATTTTATCGTAAACAATTAAAAAAAGAAAAATAGAAAAAATTTCGAAGATATTTCGAATAAAAAATAATTTTCTAAATGCAAGAAATTTTTTTAACAAAAACTAATAGAAGAATTTTACTTGTTCGCGTGGACTGAATGAATGTATGTATGTACCATTATACAGCATTTCAGATTGCTTTTTACGTCACGTTGCTTAATTTAAATAATGTATACAGTTTTTTCAGAATAGGAATATATGTAGTTACATAATCGTTGCATATATTTAGAATGTACACGTATATGCGAAAACATACAAGAAAAAGATTTACATAATTATTCGAATTATAATTTTCAAATTTCGAAGAAAAAGAAAATCAATTGATTAACGTTTCGAAAGAAACGCGAAAAAAATCAATTTTATCGAACTTTCTTACGATTAGTATTAAAATACTGTAAACGAATATTTCCAGGAAGATAAAGAAAGCATACTGAATGCGAGAAAAGAAATTTCTTCGGAACACAGCAGACGAATCAAAACAGTTATGTCAACCAGGAACTGGTATCGAAATTTCTTCCTTAAATAAGATTCAGAAGAGAAAGGTACGCAACGATAATTTCGAATATCTGCTGGGACTTAATTGAGAAACATGATCATTATAAAACTATTGTTAAAACATCTTTACTTTATATAGAACAAGTACAAAATACTAAATAAATTGAATATATAAACTTTCACTTTGGTACGATTGCCTACGTGTCATTCGCGTAATTCCAGGTTTTGTTTTTTTTTTTTCCTTTCTTCATCGGTAATATATTTAAGCATGCAACAACCTCGTACGCGAAAAATTTCTAATAAATCAACGAGATAAAAATGTTAAAAGAGCGTGAATTAACGCGGGTGTGTATCTCGCTTATATTATACAGTACCGAGGTAATATACGAGATATATTGAATAAAAACACACTCACTTTTAGAGAAATATAAAATACTCCTCGTTCGAGCTTGTTAAACCCTGTAACAACTGAAGCTTAACCGGTGAATTTCCTAACCTACGAGATTTCAATTAGAAAGCGAGGAGCAACGTCCACCGCGCACTAACACTGGCCGTTAACTGAACGTCCAAAGTGACACCGCGCGCATAAGTAATATCAGGACCTCGCGATATCTCGAGGTATCGTATGATTCTAGCATTTTTTTCTTACAGTTCATTTTATTAACCTATTTTCTCTTTTACACGTTACATGTTGTACTTTTTACATTTGAAAGGTTTAAAAAGATATAAAAACATATTTCAATAAAACGATATAAATCTAACAAGTAATTTAATTCTTTAGCTCTTTTAGTTTCGTACGAAATAACTGAATTAATTTTGAAGGATCGTACGAAACGCAAAAATACGTGTTAATATTGAAATTTGATCGTACAACGGTTCGTGCAAGTAGAAGAAAATCAATAAATTTTGTCGAATTTACGATTTTTTGCTGATAACTGTGTATTATCTCGTACGTGCTTCTGTACGTCTAACTGTATTACCACATCACATGTACATGGTACTATAATCTTAGAAACGATTAATTTTTATTTTATTTCCTTTTATATAAAAGTTCAACGTATCGATCTTTTTGGTAGTCAGTATCGGCCTCGTGTTTGTTTATCGAAGGAAACACATAACTCTAAACTTTTCTTTTACAATGCTTACACGTACTTAAAGAGATTATGCGTATGGACATAACTTACACATCATTACATGTATGTAGTTATGAAATGCAACGAAATTCCTGTTGATGCATTTAATGCATTATTTATTAAGATTACTCAATGAATTGGCTTTACCATTTAAATTGTACATATATGTATGTACATAGGTATTGATACTTAAACGAAACGTTCAAATTTGAAGAATCATATGAGAGTGAACTATTCATCACGTGACTTGTAACGCGATTTCTGCTTACCACGTGGACAGATAGCAAAGTTTTCACGCTTTATCGTTATTATGCAATTTTCTCATGATTTTATCGTCCCGTTAACGGTTATCTTTAAGAACAATATTCAAACGTGATAAATACATTTATATGAAAGAAATATTAATTCGCAAACAGACACGTTTAGCTATTTCTGTAAATGCAACAACTAAATTACTATTTATGGAAAAACATCGACTATTGTTACTAATATTAAGGATATGGGAATTTTTTAAATGTCGGAATACTAAGGATTCGCTTTTATCGTATTATAACAAATCTGGAGTTTCATATATTACAAGATATATTTCGTGAAAGGCGAAGATATGAATTGCCATTAGTATTGACAAGAATTATTCGAATTGTGTATAAGTGCACGAACGGTGGCAATGACAACGGCATATAACGGGTATCGTTGAAAAAAAAGGAAGAAGAAGAAAAAGAAGAAGAAGAAGAGGAAGAAAGAAAAAAATGTCACTCCATCGTTCTTGAATTTTGTTATTTTTATAAGATCACGCGGTGGCAGCGCTTTGGTGTCCATTACCTCCGTGATAATCACGACTCTTAAATACCAATTTAACGCCAGTGGTTCTCAAAATTACGCTAACGATTGTCGAACTAGATAATAAATGTTATACTCGCACAGCGATTGAGAACATTAGCTAAGAAAATTATTTGATCATATATCGTCTAATGATTCTTGATTTCCAAATATTCTGTACTAATCGAAAGAAAAAATCCTGCACAATACGTACTAAACGAATAAAAATTTCATTAATTATCCTTATATATTTTAACGAAATTAAGATCGAAGTTAAACAGTAATTTCTCGTGGCAGGCTTCCACTTATCGTTCCACTTGTAACCATCCTCTATATTCAAGTACAGCCTTGACCTTTTTACGCGACTAACTCATTTGAATATTAACATCCAACTATTTTTTGAATTATGATTCTTCGCTTATAAATCAACGAAAAAAGAAAACAAAGCAAGAAAGAAAGCGAATGAAAACGTACAATCGTAAAATTTATTAACGTAAATCTGATAAAACATAATAATACAATTTTCGATCTTTAACAATTACATCTAAAGAAACAGTATTCGATATCGAAATTCTTATTACTGGATGTCATCACTTCTTGAATTGCGACACTAATACATACATTACTAATAAATAATTAGTACTTTTAATGCTACGATGAAATAAAATAAGCTGCCATATTTTCTATGCTCACGAAAAATGATACACGTGCATATTCGACGTTTGAAATAATCAACTGTTAAATTAATATGACTAACGGAAAGTATTAAAATTATTTACTTGTTGAAAATATGCCATTTTCTTTTTCTTTTTTTTTTTAAATAATATAATCTGAATATAAAGAAAAAGACATAAATGAACACACCGACAGAATACGTTACAAATAACGAGGATTTAGATAGTTACATTCGAGTCTATGTAACAATTAAGAATCAAGGTTATGTTTTTCTAATATGTTCCATGTAATACCAATTGCATATAATTGCACCGATGCATATGCATATATCATTTGAAAAATACTAATGAAAACTGTTGGCAACAGCTTTACTAACGTTTTGTTAATTATTTACGCGCTAATACTGACAACACGAGAAACACGTTAATTTTTGTTAAATATCACACATGTATCTGGTAAAGTAGTTATTGAAAGCGATAAGGTTAGTTTGCTGTTGTATCGATTATATAGTCATATTGCGGATGTTTATAAATACTGAATCACTTACGAATTTACAGGCCGTTTAATCAGATGCGAAAATGCCGAACAATTGCTGAATAAACTAAGAAATCTGTGCTCTGAAAAACCAGATAGAGATATTTACTTAAAGCACAGTCTCGTGAAAAAAAGAATTACATTCTTAGCTGCATCGATGTTACCGGTGTGAAGTATGATTCAAAGATTATCGACGTGTCTTGTACAGTGAAAACACAGTATTTACATGTATATTTATCATCTTTTCATATTATTAGCGAAATAAAAATTTTATTTAACGATAAGATTACGTCGAATTAATTTTAAATGTTATTAATCATTCATCGATTCTATTTAAATATTATTGCTTCATTGTGACGTACTTATTTGTGACGTAGCGATAATACGTCATATCGTACGATCCTTGTAACTCACTGTTCACGTGCAGATTTTATTAGATTTTCCGATTTAATTGTATTAATGGAAAGTTTCGAAATGTATGGAATATAATGTATTTTATTAAACGTTAATATATAATTTTTTAATTATTTGGATTTTCAGTGGAACGGAATTTTTACATGTTTCAATTTTATAATTGGTACTTTGGGAAACAGTACTCGGATATATCTCTATGTACATGTATACATATGTAAACATGTAAAATACATAAAAGATAATGTAATATGTGTAAAAAATATGTTATATTTATCAAGATTAACGAAATAATTTTTTGTTAATTTGTATGAATAGTAATAAAGAAAAAAGAAATACTGGATTGTATTATATAAAAACAATGGTATTACAAAAAAAAAAATTTACATTAAATGATGCATATAATATTACATGAAATTATGTTATGTTATAATTTATGTACCTATATTAATTTTAATAATACGTATTGCTGACGTATTTACATATTTAAACAATATGTAGCTTTACATACTTTTAGAAAAAGTGCTCAGTTCATAAAATTGTACTTTAGACGGGAATATTATACAATATCAATTGAAATCAATTTTTATGAAAGAGCGGAAAATCGCTTTCGTTAGCCAACAAAAAAATTTATATCTAAATATTTTATACACAGCATCGTACAAATATGATTGAATACCTTTAAAATATTCATATTTACATGTTCAAAATATATGTATATGTTAAAACTTACTGATGAGAAATCTACTTTTCATAAATTTTTTTTCTTTCTCTTAAGTATAAAACATCTTAAAATGATATGTCGAACTAATGCAAACATTTCCAGTTTTTCTCGTAAAAATTTCTATTCTATCTCGCTGCATTATATAAATTACGTTTTTGCTTTTCCATAGGAAAACCTTTTAAATCGGTGCACAGAATGCAGGTGTTAAAAATTGTCTGTTTACAAATAATTGCGAATGAACAGTTAAATTATTGCCCTGTAGATGGTTATGCTCTATTTTCTAATTTAGTGATAAGATCGTGCACGTTTTCTATAACGCTGTATATGTACGGACGTTCCATGGGATTTACCTTCAACATTGATAAAATTAGATTTTGCATATCCTGTAAAATTTAAAGTTCGAGTATTAGATATTTAAACTTCGATTACATGGAATTAAATATAAATACACAACCTCATTGTACGGAGCATCATCTGGGAATGTAATATTTGCGCTTATAACAGCTAAGGCAACGCTATCCCCTCTTTCGTATACGGTATCAAACGGTGATTTGAAATAACACAACGCGTAGAGGATGCAACCTAGAGACTGAAAAAGATACAGGTTTATGACTACAGGGGCTTATGGTATATAAAATTAAGTTAATGAACAGTAATATTAATTGTACCCAAATATCCGTTCGTTCATCTACCATACAGTAACTTTCAACGTTAAATAATTCTGGTGCTCTGTACGGCATAGAACATCTTTCGGCTGCTAGATCTTGCAATGTTTGAGCTGCTTGGGATCCGCATACTTTAACTCTAGCCGGGGCTACAGAACCTGTAACATTAATTTGATAATGCAGTAAAATAAGTTACTTTTTATTTTATATTATATCGAGTTATCGTACCTAAATCCATTATAACAGGCGTATTTCCATCTCCTAGAACTATGTTCGCGGTTTTTAAGTCTCTATGAGCAAGAGGTTCCGGTTTTGCTTCGTGAAATGCTTTTACGCCTTCGCATATTTGTAAAAAAATATTTAAAATATCTATTGTACTCATGTAATCTTTATTTCTGGCGCGTCTTTCTAATTCGTTAGCAATTGTTCCCCTCTAAAAGAGAAATAGTATATTAATTAAATTTAATTCATAAATAATTCTTGCATCTAAGTTATTTAATAATGCTCCAACTTACATGGTAATACGGTAAAACCATTAATGCTTCGCTCGTAGAATTAACTATCGGATCTGCTGTACCTTTATAAGTAAAATCGATACATTCTATCACGTTCGGATGTTTAACAAGATTATGATACTCTATTTCTTTTGCGGCTAATCTCTGATCCTCTAATCCATGACAGATGATTTTTTTAATGGCATATTTCTTGCGAGTTGAGGCATCTTCGACTAATAATATGGTACTAAATCCGCTAAGGTTTTATAAAAATTACAATAAATTAATCGAATCATAAAATATCAGATATGTTTAGATTACGTACGCTATAAATGTTACTATAAAGTTTCAAATGAAAAATATGGTAGGTTAAGGTTAAACAAGATTAGAATGAAATTTATTTGATCAGTAATGGATACTGTGTAACATAAAATATTTGAACAATACACGAAATTATATTGTAAAGCTTGTGCATCTAAATATTATGATAATCCAAAGAAAATTTATTTTATGTAAAACTTGCCCTTCTCCAAGATGTTCACGAACCGTATAATTTCTTGAATTTACGGTGATAGTTTCTTTGGAGCATATACAGCCCATTTTTAAAATTAAACTCAAACCAAGGCTGTTCATATCGAAACGCGCATAATAAAATAAATAAACAAGAAACCTGGAGTATTTCTTTTATCGGCGTGCTAACATCGTGACACGTATCGAAAAAAGCCTCAGCTTAAGCTAGATGATCGTGTATCAGCTGTTTACAAACAATACTATTCTGTGTATACACATATATTTGTGTACATGGAGTCGTCAAATTGATCGAATTAAAATTTACGCATGAAAAATTTTTGACATTAAATAGTTCGAAATTTTTTGCTTTCCTCGTACGCTAAAGATTCAATTCAGAAAGAATATTCTCGTAATTTTTCACGATGATCAATGAAGAAACGAAAACTGCATTCAAGGTAAATTTTTATTTTTTACGAATAAATCATACCTTCGTATCACTATCTTAAAAATCTTACTAAAAATCAAATGGTTTATAAACAATTATTTCCGTTACATAATTTTTGGTATTATTAGGTGTTACACACCCTTCTATGGGTATTCTTTACGAGTTATTATTATTGGGGCTCAAACGAAATAACTGTAACTGCACCAATCGATGAATCTGGCTGGGTACCAGATGGAGCGCTAATAAAAGAAATTCAAAGTCAATCTGCCCATGAACAGCAACCGGCAGAATAAATCGGTTAAAAATTTTCTATATTTCTATATAAAGTACCTTGGTAAATATTTATGCAATGATGCAGTTTACGAGTGAAATATACACAGATTTAACACGACAGTATAACGGTGAAACGTATTTCATGCGATGAGAAATATAATAGAATTCTTTGACGAGTATTTATATGGAAGTAATGTAACATGAATTATTGTTAATTTTCAGGAACAGGTACATGTTTTATTAAAAGTTTAACTATCAAACTCAACAAATGAGATATTTTCTTTCCATTTTTGTTAAAAGTGGCTAAGATGTTGTTAAATTTGTATGTTTCGACGAATCCTCAACGGCTTCTTGATCATTTTGTAACTGTGATTGCCACATCGAATAATATATTCCAGTTTTAGCAATAAGCTCTTCGTGTTTTCCCCTTTCTACAATTTCTCCCTCTTTTAAGACAAGAATCTCATCTGCATGTATTACCGTGGATAGTCTGTGTGCGATAATAATGGTTGTTCGGTTAGCACAGACTCTATTTAACGCTGCTTGAATATTACGTTCCGTTTGAGTATCGAGCGCACTCGTTGCTTCATCCAGAAGCACTATTGCCGGTTCCTTTAATATCGTGCGCGCGATAGCAACACGTTGCTTCTCTCCGCCGCTTAAACGAAGTCCCCTTTCACCAACCTATATAATTGAAAATCGTACTTTTACTCCGTCATGCTAGAGAGTAACGTTTATTTTTCATCGGTAACATAACAAGACAAACCTGCGTTTCATAACCGTTTGGAAATGATAAAATTCGTTCATGAATATCTGCATTCTTAGCAGCTGCTATTATATCTGCCTCTACAGCTTCAATGCGGCCATACTGAATATTATATTTTATAGTGTTGTTAAACAATACTGTATCTTGAGGTACAACACCGATAGTACGTCTCAAAGAATCTTGAGTGATAGTTTTAATGTTTTGTCCGTCAATTAAAATTTCACCGTGTTCCACGTCGTAAAACCTGAATAATAATCGTATTATAGTCGATTTTCCAGCTCCAGATGGCCCAACTAGAGCGACTGTTTTCCCTGCTGGTGCAACGAAGTTAATATTTTTCAATATAATTTTCTCAGGAGTATAACTAAACGATACGTTCGAGAATTCCACATGGCCACGTTTTACTATCAATGGCCCAGCACCTGGAGCATCGATTACCTCTTGTTCTTGTCTGAGAAGATCAAACATATTTTCCATGTCAACGAAATTTTTTTGTATAGATCTACGAATAAAGTAAGTATAAATATTTCAAATACGAGCTCAAATTTAATGCAATATTCTGTCACAGCTTTTTACCGATAATAAGTTCCAAACCAATTTAATGGTACGTAAAGCTGAATGATATAACTGGCAAACAAAACGTAGTCACCGATTTTAAAACCTTGATTATTTACAACCTGCAATTTCATTTTTCAAATACGATCATGATTTATTTGAACTTAGTACATTTTCATACAGACCATGTGCAAACAGAGTAAAGATCCAGCTAACAGGCCACTGCAAACAATTACATTTTGCAGAGTATTTAAAATATTCAGTGTAATCATTGATTTCCATTCTTCAATCTGGTATTCCAATATTGCCTTTCTGTAACTATCTACTTCGTACGATTCAGTTCCATAATATTTAACCGTTTCGAAGTTAAGCAAGCTATCGACACTCCGCGCTTTTTGAGCATTATCGGCTAAATTCATCCGTCTTTGGAATTTAGTGCGCCATTCAGTAACCATGATCGTTGCCGCTAAATAATACATGAAACAAAGTATCGATATTTGATAAAATTATGATATGCTTGTGAGAAGAAAAGAAGAAAAAAAAAAAAAAACAAAAATGAAGAACACGATATATTTACCTATATAGAGACTCATAGTTAAGAATACGATCAAACCGAACCACTTATTAAAAGCAGAAATAAAAAACACAATGGCCACAATAATGTCAACGATCGTCGGTATGATTGAAAATATAATATAATTTAGAAGATTGCTTATAGAATCTGTCCCACGATCCATAATTCTCAGAACTTCTCCCGTTTTTCGTCCAAGATGCCAACGTAAACTTAAACTATGCAAGTGTCTGAAAGAAAATTTATTTTAAACATCGCTGAAGTAAAATATGTAAATATAGAGAAAAGTAAGAGAGATTACCTGAACAATTCTACTTCAATTTCTCGAGTTGTATACTGTTGTATCCGAATCCATAAAAATGATCTTAGATTGTTCAATACTCCCATACCACCTGTACCACCCCCTTGTAAGAATTTAAATGCTACATATATCAGTACAAGGTCCCACCTGTTACACAAATATTTCGTGAATTATAACATTTAAACATTGTTTATATTTTTATTATAAATTTTGTATACCTGAACGTAACAGGTGTTTCAGAAACACTATCCACAATTCTTTTGTTGTAAATTGGAACATATAAATTTATCAAACGCCCTGCTATGAGTAGTCCAAAACAAAAAATAACTCGCAGTTGGAGCATAAAACTGTTTGGCCACAGGAATGGTGCCAAAGTTTTTATTCTGTACCATGCATTTTTCCACGTGGAAGAATTATCCACAGGCCTCTAAAATAGTTCATCTTAATGGTAATATTAAGATATTTAAATTACTTTTCGACGACTTACACCTTGATAATATCGTAACCGCGCAGATGAACTATCGGGTAGATTATGGTATTCGGTATCTGTATTACCGGTTATTCCTGGAGCTTTAAGTCCTAAAGCAAAAATCATAAGATTGCTCACATAACGTAAAACGAACAGTGCCATCTCAATTTGGTCCGTTAATCTGTAAATAGCGCACACGTACGTAAAAAAAATATTTTACTAGATACAGTATATTAATCGTTAACAATGTTGATATTAGCATGCAGTTATAAATTTAAGAAACGATTCAAGCGAAACTTACGTATTTAAATGGAACCACCATTCAAGCTTTCCGATGTTAACGAAAACAAGATTTTCCGAGACGAATGCCAAAGTCCAAAAACCCAATAAAACAAGTCCATGACCATGCGGTGGCACGCTTGGTAACAATTTATGCCTTTCTACTCTTAATATACATACAGAATATGAATAAATAATTACGGTTAATACTGTTGTTAGAATCTGAAAACATTACGGTAGTTTAAATTCTGCAAATAACGTTACCGGAAACGACCAGTCAGAACTTACCATATAGCCATAAATTTTTTTTTCATCTAAAATTGTACCTTGCAGAATTAATCTTAGTATACTAAGTATTGGAACAAAATATAAGAAAAACTTTTGTACGATATACAATTTACTTTTTGGTAATAAACTTGCGTTAGTTTCTGTTCCGTACTTTCGATACATCCAAAGTTGAATACTACCAAAAATAAGTAAATACAAAGAGATGATACTAGTACTAACAGTGTCCATGAAACATTTGGACATGCCATGTTTCACCCAAATATCAGTGAACGTTATATTTGGAGGACAATAAGTAAACGTTGTATTCATTTTGAATATATGTCATCAAAATACTTTGAAGAAAGATCGCTTAACGATATCTCCCTTTTTATACGTCGATTCAATGTAAAGTTTTAATATTCGATGTTGTCTTCTCTATTTTGTTTACCATTATCTTTATCTATTATACATTGATTAGACGAAATTTTGAACTATCTGAAAAATTATACGAAATACGTTAATATTGCTTTTGTCGTTTTCATTTTTTTTATCTACATAAAACGATATTATCATTTCTAATCTTATATTTATCGAACGATTATCTTGTCAAAATTAAATTATATAAGCTTTATCGTTACTGTTACTTACAAAAAAATCAAAAAAATCAGAGCTTATCATTATCCTGTATTCGTATTCAGCTCGAAATTTTTTAATTATGTATTATACTGTATCGCGCATAACATTGTAAAGAAAATAATTATTTTCTAAACGCACGATAACATGAAATGAAAGTTCGAAACCGAAGTAAAATAAATGTCGGTTAAATATTTTAACAGAAGAGAAAGGCGAAAAAAATAGATGTTTACCTATGTTTAGTAAATTTGCCTCGTCATGATTAACATGTATAATTGAATTAACAATTTATCACGTACGCACATATAATATTTTTGAGGTATACAGCTTAACCTAATGTTGTTATATGTTCGAACATGTCTAAAACAACTCTGTTATTTTCGAACGAAGCATGAAAATTGAATCGGTGGAAAAAAAAGCCTGCACACAGTTAGGAATTTTTGAAAATGTATAAAATTTGCATTATTAGTCAGCAGAGGCTATACGCACGTTTGACATGTCACTTTAAACTAAACTGCGGATCGGACGCGCACTTGATTGTATGTACTCGACGTTTGAATGGGGAAACCTCGTGGCTACGTAACCTCAAATGACAGTATTATATAATTAATCGTATTAAAGAGTGGTATCATTTGAAAGTGAATAGTCATGGGTAAAGGTAATAAACACATGAAACGTTTGAAATCGGAGAAGGCGAAAGTAAAATTGAAAACGAAGAAAACGAAGAATTTACCAAAGGGATTAAACGTCACGGATCCTTCGTTCAAAGTTAAAAAAATCGTAATTAGGGAGCAATTAAAGCAGAACGATGAAACAGAGATTTTGAGTAAAAGGAAGCTTAATGTTAAGGTAAAAATGCAAATGATTGTTAATTAGCGAAAGTGTAAATTCTTTATTACATGTAGATTTAATTTACAGGATTTATTAGGACGCCTTCAACACCATAACTCGACAGTTCGTCAAGATGCTGTGAAAGAGTTAAAGGAACTTTTATCGGAACATTCGTTAAAATTGTTAAGTTCACAATTCGGGATCTTGTTAGAAGGCATTTGCACGTTATCTCTGGATAAAGAGAAAGCCATCAGACATAATTCTTTCAAAGTTTTAAGTTTAATTCTTGGCCCAGTTTCCGGGGATCAACTTAATCCGTACTGCGACGTTATAATATCGTATTTGAGATGCGCCATGACGCACATAGATCCACGTATCAAAGAAGATTCTCTGCTTTTCTTAGACGTACTCGTGCAACATTGCGGCAGCGTATTGGCAAGAAACAGCTACAAAATACTTCCAAACTTTTTAGATATGATTTCCAGGTTGCAGACCGAATTAAAACCTGGAAGACAACTAGTTACTACTTTAAACTCTAAAAATACGAACGTCAAATGGAGAATAAAAGTATTGGAAAGACTCGCCACCATATTTAGCTCTATCGTTAACTTTTTTAAATCTGAGCAAACCGTTAATTCGAATGCACGCGGCCAAGTTGTACACGTAGATAAAACTACTGGATACGTTCCTGTTTACACGAGTTTGAACGTTCAAAACTGTGAAATCGATTTCGAATTAGACGATAGTTCAAGAGAGAATATGGTCGAAGTAAGTTTGGATGGTGAGGAACTTAGGAAATACATAGAACTGTTAATGTCATTGATATTCGATAGTTGGATCGAAGTGTGTCCGGATGATAAAAATTCCGACGATTCTGCATTTTTAATTTCAACGGAGGCTTCCGAATTGCTGAAGAGTATCGTAGAAATAATACAGTTAGTAACCGAATGTATAGACATATTACACACCGAATGCGACGTAAACATGAAGTGTTGGTTCAAAAAGAATTTTCAGCATACGTACGAAAAGAATTTACTATCAAAATTTCCATACAGTAAGCTGGAGGTAACTTTTCTAGGAAAAACAAAACGTCAAGAAGATTTTTCTGCGGATGAATCGCGCGATGCTTGTTTAGGAGCCAATTTAGGTCTTTGTCAGATTTATGTATGGTTTACATCTATACATAGCAACGAGAAAACTACAGCGAAATTTAATAAAAATTATTGCGTATCTGTCGTGAAGTATTTAAATGGTACGATCAAGTTATTAATATAATTAAATTAAGTTAAATTAGTAAAGATAGGAGGAAATGTAACGTTTGCTTTTTTCACATAGGAAAACTTGACAATTGGTCAAGCCTAAATAACGGTGTATTACCGGTGTTGACTAAACTTTTAAGAATATTGTTTTTAAGCGCGAGTAAAGTTTGGTACAAAAATCGTCTGGATTTAAGAGAAACGCTGCAATCTGTGGTAAACGCGTGTTGCGATCGATCAAATAAGGATATGCAATTGCAACTATTTTCTGTGATCAGCGAGATCATGTTAGACCATACTTTGCACGAATTGCATAGGTAATTGAACGTAAAATTGTAAAATTGTAAAATTGTAAAATTGTAAAATTGTAAAATTGTAAAGGTCGATCGAACATACGTATTAACGAGTCGTATTAACGAATAATCAATGTGTCACGTTACAGGGAATGCGCGTTTAAAGATTTTATCTCGACTTTGCCGAGTGTTCTTTTGAAGGGAAAAATACACGACAATACGGTGCAGATAATAAATAAAATTGTACTCCGGTACAAAGACTGGATTCAGCGAGAGCTTATAGCCAATCACGAGGATATTATAGGTAACCATCGAAAACGATATTATCTTTTTATAGCTGGTTGGATGTTTGGAAATAATTTATTTATACATATATTACAGAGAATGCTTCGAAAATTCAAGTGATCGGATCCGACGACGTGAAGCGATCTCGTCTGATGATATGTAATTTGTTTTATTTTTTAGACGCTCAAATTTTCTATTAAGATTTTTTATTGAAAGTTTCAATTAAAATAAACACGTAGATTTTCCACTTATCTACACGTAGACTTCTTTCTGTTTTTATTGTTTTTTATTTAAAAAATCGATAAAATTCGGCAGTATTTTACACCTTTTTAATAAATTAACAATTTTCTAGATTAGTAAAACTTTCTACTAGAATAGAATTGTCAATACGGGTAGATTACACTGTTTGACGGTGCTCGATATATGATATCGCGCACCTTGCATTTTTGTGCGTTTACATTTTACATTATGATATTTTTCACAGTTTTATAAGTATGTCATAATACTTTGTTGAGAAATACTGGTGTATCGTTAATCGACAATAACGGATACAGCGTTGTCAAAGTACAAAGTAGTTAAAATCTAGTTATCATGTTTGTGTTTTTTGTCAATTCGTCGTCTTCGAAGGTATAATTATCAAACGCGTATAATCCATTGTTTTCCTTATTTCGTTCGACTTTATCGTTGAAATCGTTTTTGGACTGTTCTTCCGGATATTTAACGTTCATGATGTTCTCTATGCTCGGTGTTAAGGGCAAAATCGGTAATTCGTTACTGAGCGGTGGCCAACCGAAATCATTTTTCAATTGGTATTCTACTTTGAAATATTCCTTCTTGGACTTCTCGGGCCTATAAAATCGCGATCTAAACTTTTTCTCGATGATATATTCTATTATGAACGTTTCGACGAAGAGACAAGTAAGAAAGTTGGCTAAGGCAAGCGCCAAAATGATAATACTCCAATGGTAAGACGGAGGCAGACGCAATTTTAGCGTGTTTATTATCCAGTGTGCTGGATAAACGGTGATATAGGCGCAGACGATTGTCATGAGAATAATGGAAAATACGAACGCGATGTTCGAGTAAACAGGTTTTCGGTACGGTTTCCCACGGGAAAATATTATGGCCATTGTTATGTATTGAAACATCGAGACACAATAAACGGAATAGTTTTCGTAGCAGGCGTCTTCGGCGTTATTCGCGTGAACGAACGGAGTAAACCAAGGAAAAGAACGAACCGCGTGATAAGCAACGGCTTGAAAGATCGTCATTATCAGCATATGAACAGTTAAAGAAAATATCGTGGTGAAACTTAATAGACTAGTCATCGGAGGTTTCTTTACTAATTTCTTTTCGTATGCTCTGGTCTTCCCGAAGAACGAGGCAAAGTTAACGATCAGACAGATGTCGATAAAAAGGAATTCTAGATCCGTCAAATTCGAGTCGATCGAGTAAAGTATAATAACGGACACGAATTCTGTAAGGGAATAAGTGACCATGAATTTAAAAATTCCGAACGACGTGACCAAGGCCGCGCGGCCTTCTTTCATTACTTTTGGAACACAAGTTATGTCAGGTACCTTGGACGTGAAAGGGCTGGCAACGCTGAAACAAGAATGTATAATAATAATAATAATAATAATAAGCAAACTTATGGAAATTGAAAGTAATCGTGTAAAATCGCATACGTTTCTTAGACGAATATTACTTAAGTAAGTAAGTAAGTAAGCAAGTAAGCCTGTTTAGCGTGCAAACATTGAAATATTACCTGGATTCTGCTTCGGATAAAGATATACCGGTGTGCGCCGCTCTCAGGGCACCGCAGTCATTAGCACCGTCTCCGCACATGGCTGCAATGTTTACGAAAGATTTTCAAACGACCGTCTTAATCTTACGGTGAATCGTGGCTAATAGTAAACGCGATGGAATGCGTACCCACGTAATAACCGAGTTGCATCAGCTCCAACACTAATTGTTGCTTTTGATCGCTAGTCATTCTGGCAAATATTGCTCCACGAACGCAGATCTTAGCCACGATGTCTGGATAATGTTCGCGCAGTAACTGCCACGATTGTCCCGTCAACGCGAACCGATAATTCCTACTACCTATATTCCGTTCTATATCGTGTAGTTCCGGTATTTTTATCCTTTTATCGCGAAGGCTCTGAAAACGAACAGTATGAATGAACTTTCTCGCTTACGAAATTATTTTTCCTATTATCCTTCGAAAAGTTCTCCGCGAACGTACCAGCTTCGGGGATAACTGTTGAGCATTAAAATAAATCTTCGGCTGAGACTTATCCTCTTCCATAACGACGGTCACGTCTATCACAGACTCTTGCGACGATAAAATGCCACACTCTTTCGCGACGCTCACCGCAGTCTGAATGTTGTCCCCTGAAACCGAGCATAACCATTTTCATGTATCGGGGAAAAACTAAATAACGCCGAAGTATTCGAATTTGGACGTTATCGATTACCCGTAATCATCAAGACATGCATGTCGGCGGCTCTTAGCTCCTGGATGACCGGTATAGTCGGCAATTTCAATCTGTTTTCCATAACTACTAAACCTAAGAACTCGAGATTCTGTTCGATCGCGTCTCGAGGCAGTTTCACTATCTGAAAATAGAAATAGAAAAGAGAAATATGCTTAGCTCGGTTAGAATGGAAGGAAGCGAGAGGTTTTAAACGAGAAGCGAATACCTTAGCGTTACTTTCCGATAATTCCTTTCGTCCCATGGCTATGACCCGATAGCCCTGTTCCGTATAGCGTTTTAAGCAAAACATTATATCTTTCGGAATAGTTTCAGGTTTGCTTAAACTAAGTATCATCTCGGGCGATCCTTTCGTGTAAGCTCGGAAAATTTCGGAGCCTAGTACGCGTACTATCACAGACATTCGTTGCAGAGAACTCGAGAATTGATATTGCTGCACTATTCCGATTTCAAATATTTCGTTCGCGTTTTCCGCGACACCGTTCTTATTTTTCCCTGGTTTCGCTATCGTCGGTGTTACGAGATCGTGTTCGTTTAAATGCTCCGGCTCGGATTCTTCTAATATCCATCCGGTACTCTCGAACATCTGCTTAAACGACCGATAGATTATTGAAATATCGATTAATCGCGTCTGCGACGAAGCTCGAGCAAGAAAATACCTTAACGTCTAAAGGGTCCCCGCAGAGTTCACCGTCGATCAGAGTTAAACTATGACAAACTAGCATACCCTCGAATAGAGGATGACCGCTTAGTTTAGGAACGGTCCTTTCCGATTCGCCGAGAAGACCGTCGGTACACGGTACAATACCCCACATGTCCAATCCATCTTCGGTTAAAGTGCCGGTCTACGAAACATATGCACGTATTTAATCGATCGAGTGATTAGGAAGTTCGATTCTGAGAAAGTGTCCTCCGCGTTAATCCTTGACACGGCGCTTACTTACGCTCCAAGCAATAATTATCTTCGTGTCTGTATGTAGTAATGTATGTCATAAACGTTACCTTGTCGAAGCACACGCAATTTATGCCGCCCGATACGTTGATCACTCTATTGTTAATACAATATATTTCTGCTCTTTTCAACCGCGCTTGAGCGTACAATTTTCCCACTGTCATCGCTGCTGGCAATGCTGGAGGAATCACTATCGTTATTATGTCCAAGGCTTTTATCGCTATATCGTCGGCCGTGATTCCTCTAGAAGCCTGCGCGCGTTCGAATTACGGTTAATTACGATCCGTTACGGAGAAATTAAAAAGAAAAGTACCTTGGTCACGATCGTGTATAAGAAACCGCATGTCGCGATCACCGCCAATATACCGATAAACTTGTAAGAATCTTGATCGAATTTAAAATCTGCCGGTGGCGGATACAAAATGGCCGCGACGAGGCTCCCTTTGCTGGTGTGGTAACCTGTTCGAATGACCCGTGCTAACACCGGACTGTCGCTGTAACTTCTGCGAAATTACAGAAGATTAGCTAACAATACGAATTTTCGTAAAGTTTTTACGTAAAGTTTCGCTAATTAAAGTTTCGGAAGACCTGGTTTGAATGATGGTGGTGCCGCTGAATATGGTATGATGGGAGCATTCTTTCGAATCGTACAACACGTGGCGCGAGGGTAACGGAGTTTTCGTTACCGGCACCGATTCCCCTGTAACGTAACATAACGTAACGTAAATGTTAAGTATAAACGTAAATAAATAGGATAAGTAAAATATCGTACCGGTTAGCATGGATTCGTTTAATATACACTGGCCCGTTAAGAGTACCGCGTCGCAAATAACAGTAGCTTGATGCTTCGGTAATTCTATTATATCCCCTGGTACTAATTCGCTGCTCGATATGTTTTCCGATATTTTCTTACTCCTGTGCACGCGAACAGTCTCCGTCGACGCGACTGTTCCACGAAGATTAATCTGATTCTACGATAGGATTTAAACGCGTGTTTGATCAAGATTCTTAGCGGTTTAGTAAGATCTAAAACGGCGTAGAAACGAACGTTTTACCTTACGGGTTTGTATGATGGAACTCGTGATTCCGAAGAACGACATGCACACGATCGCTACCGTGTAATATAAGTACCCCTCTGCGAACCATACGCACAGCGTAAAAACTTGAAATATGTAAAACGGATTGAGAACCTCCAATATAAGCAATACGCCTATACTTTGTACGGGAACGATAATCTCGTTGTTCCCGTAGACGATACGTCTGCAACAAATAATATTATATTATTATACAATATCACGGAATATTATTAATTAAGAAATATTAAATTGTTGCGGTTAGGTTGTCGTCGATACACCTACCTGAGGCATTGTTCCTCTTTAGAGAGTCCTTGATTACTGTTCAAATGAAGATCCGAACATAACGTATATTTGTCTAGTCCTATTAATCTCGAGAACGCGTTTTGCGTGATGTCCCATACGTAACATTGTTTTTTGCACCAAAACGCTTTGTACTCGAATACTTCGCATTGCGTACCGTTCTCTAAATTGATCTTCAACCTCTTGCATCGAATCTTCTCCACGAGTTGTTCGTCGTTCGTGTTCAGATCTCTCGATAGTTGTTGCGCGCTACCGAACATCACCGAGAACAAACGGATGAAAGAAATCGTTCCTTTTTTCTCGCGGATTCGATAAAAACGAAGGACGCAGAACTGACCTGATGTTCCTGGTAGAAATAGTTTTCACTTCTTTCACGAAGTACGACTTGTATTTCCCTTGATAATTATCCTACGCGTTAAATTAGCTCCCTCGTTATTGGTATTAAACGTAATTCCAATTTATCTTAGGAATCGTAAGCAGAATCGGTAACGCTTCGCTAAACGATCGTGAACGCGAATCGTTCTCCGAAATAAAGTTACGTTACGTTAGAAGAAAGATAATACGTGAACGTTCTTAAAGAGCATTTAGGAAAAAGTTACCGATTATTGCCGATTATTATCTAGAATGATTCTTACAGTTACGAGCAATTTCGTCGCGCGACTCAAAGGACACTT